GTGCTTTCCTGTGTACCATCTACTTTGAATAACATAAGATCCTTGGGATGTAGGCATATGTGTTAGGGAAGTTAAATCTGACCAACCATCCCTTTCTAAGTCTGGTTCTCTTTATCTCTCTTTGGTATCTCCTTTTTTATTCATTTATTCTTTCAACAAAGATTTATTGAGAAACCACTATGTACTTGGCATTGTGCTAGGCACCAGGCACGAGGGACACATAAATTAGTAAGACATAGCCCTTGACCTCAAGGATTTCTCACCTCAGTGGTGAAAGGTAGAGAAATAAATAGAACGTTCTAATCTGATCCAGAATGGTGGGGTTAGGAGGAAACACCTCCCTAATTCCCAGAGGGGATGACATCTAAACTTCAACCTAAATGAGGGGTAGGGGTTATCCAAAGAAAGGGGAGTTGAATATATTTCAGGTAGAGCAAACAGCATATACGAAGGGCCAGAGGCTTTCCATCTATTACTCTTCCTCTCTTTCCCCATTAGTCTCCAACCTTTTCTTCTGGTCTTGAGGGTCCTAGAAGTTGTGCCTCTCAGCTTCATCTTTGCTGTTGGGCCTCAAAGAGCTGTACCACCTGATGATGGCTCACTTTATTATTTTTTTAATTTATGTTTTATTGCAGTAACATTGGTTTATAACATCATATAACTTTCAGGTGTACATCGTAATATATTTCGAATTATGTGTAAATTACATCATGTTCACCACCCAAAGACCAATTATAATCCATCCCCACACACGTGCTTAATCACCCCTTTCTCCTTCCTCCCCTGCCCCTCCCCTCTGGTGACCACTAATCCAATCTCTGTTGCTCTGTGTTTGTCTTTGTTTTAGTCTTCTACTTATGAGTGAGAGCATATGGTATTTGACTTTCTCCCTCTGACTTGTTTCACTTAGCATAATACCCTCAAGGTCCATTCATGTTGTCACAGATGGCCGGATTTCATCATTTCTTATGGCTGAGTAGTATTCCATTGTGTATATATAACACATCTTCTTTATCCATTCATTGCTTGATGGGCACCTAGGTTGCTTCCAAGTGTTGGATATTGTGAATAATGCTGTGATGAACATAGGAGTGCATGTATCTTTATGCATTTGTGTTTTCAAGTTCTTTGGATAAATATCCAGCAGTGGAATACCTGGATCATATGATAGATCTATTCTTAATTTTCTCAGTAAATTCCCTCCATACTGTTTTCTATAGTGGCTGCACCAGTTTGCACTCCCACCAGCAGTGTATGAGGGTTGCCTTCTCTCCACATCCTCTCCAACACTTATTGTTTCCAGTCTTGTTAATTATGGCCATTCTGACGCGGTACCTCATTGTAGTTTTATTTTTTTTGTTTTTGAGGAAGATTAGCCCTGAGCTAACTACTGCCAATCCTCCTCTTTTCGCTGAGGAAGCCTGGCCCTGAGCTAACATCTGTGCCCATCTTCCTCTACTTTATACGTGGGATACCTACCACAGCATGGCTTTTGCCAAGTGGTGCCATGTCCGCACCCGGGATCCGAACCAGCGAACTCTGGGCTGCTGAGAAGCGGAACATGCGAACTTAACCACTGTGCCACCGGGCCGGCCCTCTCATTGTAATTTTGATTTGCATTTCCCTGATAGTTAATGATGTTGAACATCTTTTCATGTGTCTGTTGGCCATGTGTATATCTTCTTTGAAGAAATGTCTGTTCAGATCTTTTGCCCACTTTTTAGTTGGGTTGTTAGCTTTTTGTTGTTGAGATGTATGAGTTCTTTGTATATTGTGGATGTTAACCCCTTATCTGATATATGGTTTGCAAATATCTTCTCCCAGTTGTTAGCTTGTCTTTTTGTTTTGTTGATGGTTTCCTTTGCTGTGCACAAGCTTTTTAGTTTGATGTAGTCTCATTTGTTTCTCTTTTCTGTTGTTTCCCTTATGATGGCTCACTTTAAATGTCTTGCCATCCACTTGTCCACAGGCCAAATTCAAATCTTTGACAGTGGTGAGCACCTTTGAGCTGGGAACTGAGGAGGGCAGTGTCCTACAGCTGACTGAAGCCTCCCGTTGGAGTGAGGTGGGGCTGGAGACTGAGTTTGAGAACTGTGAAACTAATAAGGGTGGGGATGGGGTAAGGGCACCTGTGGGCTTTTTCAGAACTGAGACATCTTCACTAGGCAACAGCTAGTAACTCAGAAGCGCTAAATCAGGATGCAGTGGTCCCACTGCCTCCATTCTTGCTTCAGTTTCTTTTCTTTTGTTCTTTCATTTTGAGGCTGGCTTTGCTATAATGTGGGGAGAGCCTAGCTGGGTGAAAGGGTGCCAGTAAAAAATAACTCTAATCCCCATACAGAGCCTCCTGGAGGTGATTCAGACCCGCCCTGTTCTCATCTCCCTGTGGATCCTCATTGGTAGTGTCCTGGGAGGGCTGCTCCTGCTTGCTCTCCTTGTCTTCTGCCTTTGGAAGGTAAGCACTGCTTTAGTGGGGAGTATGGGATATGGCGCCCACAAGTTGAGGGATCCTTGATGATAGCATGGAGAACTGGATTTGTGCTGGGCAGCTAAGCAGGCTGTGGGTGTCATGACTGGGTCTCCTTCACTGTACTCTGCAAATGTTGGTCGAATTAAACTAAGCCAAAGAAAATAAATTTGAATCTCATTTTTGGCAGCAGAGCAAAAATGAAGGCTTCGGATATGTCTCAGGGCTGTTGGCAAGGTCCCTAGGCAGGGCGTTTGGTGATGACTCTTATCTCTTCCTCTACAGCTTGGCTTTTTTGCCCGTAAGAAGATCCCCAAGGAAGAAAAAAGAGAAGAGAAATTGGAGCAATGAATGTAGGATAAAGCCCTAGAAAGGCTTCCCTGGCAGCTTCTCTAAAAGACTTACGTAAGAGCAGAGGTTTGGGGGCTCAGATGGGACAAGAAGAAGCCTCTGGACTATCTCCCCAGACCTGCAGCCTGACTTGACTTTTGAGTCATGAGGATGCTGGTGGCAAGAGAGGAGGCCTTACCTCAGACAAGAAGGCCTGGCACCAAAACCGGGAACACTCCTACACTGTGTTTCCCTCCTCATGATCCTGGTTCTACAGCCAACATTGAGGCCTGGTTTGGGGCCCTTTCTTCCCTATCCCCAGGAATCAAGAATTTTTTTGCGTAGGTCCCTGACTCCTTTCAGATTCCCTCTACCTCCTCCCTCACAATTTGGAAAGGATGAGGGTTATCATCCTCTATTCCCCGCCTCTCACCTTCCTGCCCGTGCCCCACTCCACGGGAGGGAGCTGATGTTGGCTTCAAAGAAGTAAAGTCAACATCTGCTGCTTTCCTGTGGAGTCTGGTGATTCAGAGAGCCGGATGAGGAGAGTCAACAGGAAAAAAGGAGGGAGGAGGAAAAGCCACAAGAGACATTCTGTACAATTCCAAGGAACAGAGAAGCCTTCAGACAGGCAACTGCCATCCCCCTGAAACCTGAGACTTCGTGGTGTACTTGCCCGCCCTCAGGTGCTGGTGAAACAGAGCAGCCCCAGGCGTGCTGGACATAGGTTTCTCAACTTGAAGCCTTCCCTGGGAGCAAAGCCAGGGCCGGGTGCCTGATTCTCTGGAGCCAGGGGCCCCCGGGTGGCTAGAGCTGGAATAGCAGAGAAGGCTGGATACTCCCGGCAGTGTTTCTCCTCTCTCAGGCCTCATTCACTCTTGAGCCCTCTTTGGGGCCTCCTTATAGAAACTAGAGAGAAGGGAGAGGATTGCTGCTTGATGGTGGGAAACCCTTTCACCTTATCAGCTTTGGGAAGCAGCAGCCCATAGGGTCTGAATGAGTAGAGTCTGCCTTAAGGAAGAAGCCAAAGGGGGTGGTAGGAGGTCTCTGGGGAACAAGCCCTTGCTCAGCACTGGTTGTGTAGTACAAACAGCTCTTAGGAAAATGTTTCTGGGTAGTACAAACAGCTCTTAGGAACATGTTTCTGGGGCAACTCCAGTCATACCTTGTAGGGCTTCTCTGATGGAATCAGTTTGCCAGCCCTTACCTTATGTTTACTGGAAATTCCCAAGTTAATTTCTCTCTCTGGATTCCCTTACCCACCCCCGACTCCCCACTCCTATCTTTTGGTCATGGCCAGTAAAGAGAACTGGATTCTCATCAACAGCTGGGTAACTCATGTTTCTTTGTAATCAAGACTTTGGATATCAAAGTCAATTATTGGTCTCCAAAGTGCAGCTTTCACAGTCATTTGAAGAATCAGCACCCATTTAGAGCTGAGAAGAGAGGAGACCTGACCTGGCAGTTGACTAGCAGCCACAGAACTGTCCTCCAGGGCTGTTCTTGAGGCCTGGCCGCAATGTGTATTTTGGCGTGTCTCTGGTCTTTTGCAGAGGGCATTGTCTCCGTTTCCCAGTAGGGTGGACAGTATATCAGATGGTCGGAACAAATAAAGTTCAGTGTCAAACGACTTCTGGCTCTGTTTGAGTTCCCTAAGATATGGACTGCTCAGGAATGGTGAGAGGTGGATTCTTGGTTCACTTGAAACCTTGTACAGTTGAGTCCCTGGAAGGCAAAGTTAAGAAGCATTTGAAATGTTTTCTGTGACTCTCCCACTGGAGATGTGCTCTAGCCTCCTGCAATCCTCACCTACTTAAGTGACCATAGAGTGTAAAATGTGTAGGTTTGGAAAGCATGTAGGCCTAGATTGAAATCCCAGGTCTGCCATTTATTAGCTATGTGGCCTTGGGTAAGTTAAAACTACCCTGAGGCTCAGATAGCAATAAGAGGCTGCATAGTACAGTGATTAAGAATGAAGACAGGAGCCGGCCCGGTGGCACAGCAGTTAAGTTTGCATGTTCTGCTTCTCAGCGGCCTGGGGTTCACCAGTTTGGATCCCGGGTGCGGACATGGCAACCACATGGCATGCCGTGCTGTGGTAGGCATCCCACGTATAAAGTAGAAAAAGATGGGCACGGATGTTAGCTCAGGGCCAGCCTTCCTCAGAAAAAAGAAGAGGATTGGCAGTAGTTAGCTCAGGGCTAATCTTCCAAAAAAAAAAAAAAAAAAAAAGAATGAAGACAGACTTGGGTTTAAATCTAAGCTATACCACTTAAAATGTGTTTGACCTTGGACAGATTTAACTTCTCTAATTTTGGCTTTCTTGTCTATAAACTTATTAGGGTTGTGAGGACTAAATGAGATAATTCAAGTAAAATGAGCATATAGTAAGCACTCAATAAATGGTAACTATTGTTATAAAAATGTTTTGCTATAAAGTAATCTATGCTACCATGTGTTGTGAGGACTAAGTGAGAAGGTATGAAGGTATTGAAACATTAGGTGGTACTCCTGATCTGGTGACCCTTCACAGACCGTGAAGATTTGTTTCTTCTATGTGCTATTGATTCCTCCTACTAGATCTTATCCTGTGCGTCATCCCCTTTGAGATAAACCCTCATGCCCACTAAGGTGATAATTAGCTAATTAACTTAAGGTTCTAATGGTAGAAATCAAATCTATTGGATTTCGTTAGACACCCAGGGTTCTGCTAGTACCCTCAAGGAACATGGGCACTTAAGCAATGGCCTTCTAGAGACCATGTCTCTGCCTCTGTTGCCTAACCTGAGAATGGTGGCCTGCCTGGCCTATTAGACAGGGACAATCATTCTCTGGCAAGCTGGTGAGTTATTTTATGGCAGGAGGAGTCCATGATGGCCCTCAGTGTACTCATATAGGCTGTAGCTTGATCAGCCTTTATGGCACATACTGTTTCTGGGGCTGGGACTGAGACCATGGTGATGTTGACAGACCTCCCCTCTTTATCCCCAGTGAGTCCCAAAAGGGAGATGGATTTCCTTGAAGACTGGTTCATCTAATTCTTCATCCATATGATTAAAAGAGCACTTTCAATAATTTTCTCCACCTAGAGATCCCTCTCCTCTCTATCCTTCAGCTCCAGTGTGGGACTTTTCTCTAACCCCAACCTGTTCTTCAATAAGCCTGTTACCTCTTCCTTTGGAGCAGAACCAGTTTGAGAAGCAACTGTAGAAACAACAGGCCCTCCCCAGACACAAGAGTTCCTTCCTTTCTTCTCATTGTTGCTCCTTTGTTCCTTCCTTCCTTCTTTCACTCATTCACTCATCAGACATTAAGTATCTCATATGTGCCAGGCAATAGGGTTAATATAAAATACAACTCCTACCATCCAAGAGCCCCATCTAGTAGAGGAAACAAACATGTAAATAAATAATGGCAAATACAAAGAGGTGGTTGCTATACAACATAGCAGTAAGTATTAGAAGTGTGTCACACACAAGAGGCACACTTTCCTCGATGGGGGTGGGAGGGTTGTAAGGGAAAACTTTACAGAAACAAAATTTGGGTTGAGGGGCGACCAAGTGTGAGAGAGGGCATTCCAGGGAGGATCAGTCACCAGCCAGGAAGGGAACTGTAGTAGACTAGAATAGCCTCAGCATTGGGCTGTTTCTGAAAGTGGTGAGAGAGGGGACTGGAGAAGGCAGGGTGCAGCTTTTGATGAGCCTTGTAAACCACGTTAAGAACTTTGAGCTTTATCCAGTAGGCTTTCATATGCATTTGAGTGGGCTCGTTCAGGCCGCAGGGAGGAGAAAGGAGAGACGGTTGGCTGCGACCGACTGTTCAAGCAAGAATTGCCGAGAATCTGAATTTAAAGGGCAGTGGAAATAGTGAAGGCAGTTTTGTGCGGGTTTTCGCGGAGAGGCGGAGAGTGCTTCAAATAAAAATTCTTTTCTTCCCCTCTGCCCTTTTCTAACTTAGAGGTGGGTTAGGATATTCAGCTTGATCCCCTTTCCCTCGGGTTTTGTTTCTCAGGTTGCTGCGGGTCACGCATCATCCACCCTCAGTCCTCTGCTCAGCACAACAATCTCCTCCCGTTTCCAAACTGCTCTCTTCAAATCCTCTTTTGTGCCTGGGTTTTTGGCCGGGGAATCGGGGGAGAAAGCAGAGGTAACTAAGTTGGCCAAAGGTTTCTGGATATAATAAAAGCACCGGCACCAGTGGTTAAATGCAACAGTTGCTAAGAGCAGAGCACGCTCGGAGAAGCCGGGACCTGCCCGCCTCCTGCGGCAGCACTCAGAGAGGCGGGGCTGAGGCGGGGTTTAGGGCGGAGCCTCAGCCGGGAACCGTGGGGAGGGGCGGGACCGGGGGAGGAGTTTTAGCCCGAGCCCGCGGGTCCCTTCGGCGATAGAGCAGGTCGGAGCTGGGGGCGGATTCGGTTTGAGAGGGCGAAGTTTGAGTCGAAGATTGCAGGCTTTTTGCCTCGGCAACGGCGGAGTGGAGCTGGGTCAGGGGCGGAGTTTTAAGGCCAGTCCTCGGGTTCTGGTCTTTGATTGAGCGGGGCGGCTCCTGGGGCGGATCCCGGGGCGGGTCCAGCTTTGCTTTTGACAGCTCTCTCGCGCACAGCCGCAGCCGAATCCGATAGGTTTGGGAACCTGTGGCCCCGCTCTCCGCGCGTCCCCGTTCCCCCGTGGCCCTGGCCCCGGCCATGCAGCGCATCTTCTCCTGCTCCAGCTCACAGGTGGCGGTAGGTGCCAAAATGTTTGGGCGGATGGCCATGAGGTTGGGGTCCAAGCCCTGTGGTGACAGAAGTCCTGAGTCCCATCTCCATGCACCTTCGCCTTTTCTCTTTATGGGTCTTTTCAGCTTCTCCGTTCCCTCAATGCAGCCCGCCAGCCCCGCCTTCCTCAAGACCCTGTCCCCCAGCCTCTGACTTGCCTTCCTAACCTTTGCCCTCCTCAAGGTCTTTTCTCTCCGCCTTTTCTTGTCCTCCTAGTATCTACATCCCCAACTTCTGATATGTTTTCTATAGCCCCTGCCCCTTCCTCAAGGTCCTGTCCTCTACTTCTGCTTTCTTTCCCGGTACTGAATCACCTCCAAGCATCTGCCCTATCCCCAGCCCCTGCTCAGCCCCAAGCTCAGTTCTATCTCCCAAGTCCTGCCCAAGGGCCCCATTTTCCAGCCTTGTCTGTCCTCACAGCCCTGCCCTCCCATATGGCCCTATCTTTGCTGCTTTCTGTCAGCCAAACGAGTACTCCCAGCTCCATGCCTTCTCCTAACCCTTCTTCATATAGTCTTCTCTGTCCTTGCCCCATCTCACCTCTTGCCACTTCCACTCCCGTTGTCAAATCATTACCACAAGCTCTCAGACATCATTCCAAACCTCTTTCCAAGTGGTGTTCTCACAATTGCAGTCTTCTCCTGTTCTCCCCTTCAACCTCTGCCTCTCTGCCCAGTGGTTGTTCAATACCACTCTTCCCCGTTTTGCCCCAACCTCCTTCTGCCTGCTCCCTGTGGGTTAATCTTGCAGTCTGGCCAGCCGGACAGGCACTGCCAGAGGAGGCACAGTTGCCTGGCTACTCCCCAAGGAACTGGGTAAGTTGCCTGCAGAATCCACCCTGGCCAGTTCACTGCAGTGTCTGGTCATCAGACTGGTTCTTGGGCCAGTCAAGGTCTTCCGCCTGCTTCTCCCCAGAATCTTCCTTCATTCTAAACCCTCACCTAGTTGCTTAGGGCTTGTACTCTGCTTCCTTTGACTGAATTGGGGAAGGGTAATGGTGAGAGGAGGAGAAAATAGAGTAGATTCACTCTGAGAGTTCACAGTAGAAGTCATTCTACTCTCCGTGTTCTTCCAGAACAAAACACAAGGAAGAAGATTACAGAAGGTGGTGGCTCAGGGAAGGTATAGCTTCTTCTTCTCTGAACATCTCTTACATGGAGACCTCTTATCTGGGGATGAAATTCTCTGTGGAGAGTGGGATTATGGCTTATTTAGAAGTGTAATAGCCAACTACCTATAGTAATACTGCTTAGCCTGACCTGTCTTAGTGGTGCCATTTATAAGCAAACATGAGAAATGCTCAGCTCACTCTGCATGGGCAGGCCACAGAAGCCTGGAAGCCAGCTATGAGGCAAGAATAAGAACTCTGTTGAAGCCTGTCCTTGTCCCACTTACATTTGCTTCTCTACTTAGTTTCCACACCTTGATCAACCAATCAAAAGGCATTTACTGAATGACTACTATAGGTAACAGAAACTGGGGCTACCCACATTCTGTCTTAACACATAATGATTTTGTTATTCACATGGACTCTTCCCTAGTTACCGAAAGTCCTCCACATTGCCCTTCCCTTTCAGGTTTGTGGAGTCTGCCTGCTCCTTAGGAATGGGGAAACTATTTCATTCTTCCTGATTCTCCGATCCTTGGTCACCGCTTGCCTTTCCAAATGCTGGGGTGAGCAATGGGCTGAATGTTGGAATTTGAAAGCATCCCTCTGCCCTTCTTCACCCCAGCTCTACAGAGATTTGGCCATGAAGAATTTCCACCCATTCTAAACTCTTCGTAGTATAACAAGATTATAGGTAAACTGGGTGCATTTAGAACTGTCTAGCTAGGCAGAAAACTGTTTCCTCAGTCAGGACGGGATCATAAAAAGCTTGAATATAGACCAGTTTCAGCTGCAAATTATTTCCTCATGAAACTTTTCCAAACTTCTCAGGGTAAATTCCTCCACTCCTGGGTGGCTGACCATTCTGGACTCACTTGTCAGAGAAATAATGTGACAATCTTCCTGGCCATTCCCAAAGCCTGGCTTCTCAGTCATGCCAGAAGACTGCCCCTGCCCAATCCTACTCCCAAACCTGGGTCCAGGGCCAGAGCCCTGCACCCTCAGATTGAAATAAGGGCTGAAAGATCAGTGATCATTTAAAAATTAATCTAAGTTATCAGAATATAGGAAGTTCAACAAACAAACAAATAAAAACTCAGCTCCTATAATCTCATTTTATTTTAGTCAAGTAGAAGATGCCTTTGAGGGTGTCTTACATATTAGCTTACTCTGCCTATGTAAGAAGTTGACCAGAAAATAGCTTTAAACAACTGACATTAAAAAAACTTGAGAGGCAGGGCCGGCCTGGTGGCGCAGCGGTTAAGTGCACATGTTCTGCTTTGGCGGTCTGGGGTTTGCCGGTCCAGATCCCGGGTGTGGACATGGCACCGCTTGGCAAGTCATGCTGTGGTAGGCGTCCCATGTATAAAGTAGAGGAAGACCGGCACAAATGTTAGCTCAGGGCCAGTCTTCTTCAGCAAAAAAGAGGAGGATTGGCAGCAGTTAGCTCAGGGCTAATCTTCCTCAAAAAAACAAATAAATAAATAAATAAAAATTGAGAGTCAGCTCCCTGTTCCTCCAGGGCAGCCTTTCTGTTTCCACTCCCCTCTCCTACAGCTAGTCACTCTTTCTCTCTCTCCTGTTGGTATGTTCCGTCTTGATAGGATGCTTATAGGCAGACAGCTAGAGATAAGGAGAGGCTGCAGTTACTTCTACAAAGGCCCCCTAATCTTGGCTACAGAAATACAAAGCTAACCCTTGTTTTTGAGTCTGCTGATTAATTTGGCGATTGCTCCTTTGAGGCTGTGATGGTAATCCATTGCCTCTTTTCCAAGGTGCTGGGGCGAGCAATGGACTGGACTTGGAATTTGGAAGCATCCCTCTGTCCTCCTTCACCCTAGCTCTGCAGAGGTTTGGCCATGAAAAATTTCCACCTGTTCTAAACTCTTCTTAGTATCTAAACAAGATAGGTAAATTGGGTGGATTTAGAACTATTTAGCTGGAAAGAAAAGTATCTATATCGTTAAGAAGCACTTTTACCATGTATACAGCTTGGCTGTTATGCTTTGGCTGATATGAGCAAGATCTCTTCCTCCCACTCCCCCAGATGGAGACTTCTGAGCCCTGGAACATCCAAAATATGCCCAGCAAGGCTAGGAAGGTGGAGATTGGAACTAACATTTATTGCACCTACTCTGTGACAGACATAGTGCTAACTTCTTTAAATGGTGTTATATCATTCGGAAACTGAAGTTCAGAGAAGTTACATGCCTAAATTCACAAGGATAGAAAGTGTTAGAATCAGGCTTTTAAACAGAGAACTTCAGATTGAGGTTGGCTGATGACAGTGTCCTGTGTGGAGGTGTAGCACTAGCTCTCTGCTTTTTCTGAGAGTGACCTGGCCCCCAAGGGACATGGGGTAATGTGTTCTCACACATCAGAGTCTGTTGGTGTGTGGAGCAGTCGTTTTGCTTATTTTGTCCTTTGAGAACTAACCTGTTTGGAGACTCTTCTTCACATAAGGAGCAGCATCTGAGGGTGGGTGGTTTTGCCCTGGAGGCAGTCTTAGACTGTTTATTTGAAAATAAGTAAATGTTCTTCCCTAGCTCTGTAGTAGCGTGGTCTGGTGGTGAGAAGTGGATTGGGCATCAGGTGGCCTGGGATCTACTCTCAATTTTACCACTGTTTTGTGGTGTGACCCTGGACAGTTATCTAACCTCAGTGTGCTTCAGTTTCTTCTTCTGTCAAATAGATAAAATAATATTAGCCCTAACTACTTTCCAGGGATGTTGAGAGGCTGTTGAAATGGCACTTGAAAGGACACTGAGGAATTACAAGTGCCGAACAGGAGTATTACCTCAGAATCCCTCAGAATCCATCTATCCTAGATAATTTTATGGTTTGAGTATTTAAAATCTTTCCTGTTTTTGATGACTAATTTGCCCTATGTAAACAGTATTTGAAAATGAGTTATTTGGCTTCCATAGACTCTATTTTTTTCCACCTCCTCCCACAGCCTCTTGTTGAGATTACACCTCATAAAATGCCATATGCTACCACCAATCCCTCATCACTTCCTGTTTTGTTATAAGGATGGCATACATTTGTAGGGCTCTTTACAGTTTACAAAGAGATTTTATATAGGTTAGCTCATTTAGTACTCACAACACGATGAGGTAGTTATTATTTCCCACATTTTATAGATGAGGAACCAGGTTAGAAGTGTTCAATGGCTTACTCTAGGTCACAGAGATGAGAAAGTCATTGAACTAGACCCTGAACTCAGGCCTGCTGACAAAAATATTCACCTAGGGCTCTTTTCACCATACCACAGATTTTTGCATCCCTTCTTCCTTTCCTTTCGCCTCTCTGGATCAAACCAGGCTTTTTGTGCTTTCAGCCCTGGGTATTTTTACCCAGCTCTCTCCTTCACGCCCTGTGATACTTCAATTATTATAATTACCCTACAACCCGAAAAAGTCAAGCTGGAATGATAGAACAATGCATGCCCAGGTGTGGCTGTTGTCTGGGACAGCTGCTCACTGCTAGGAAAATGAGGAGGGAGTGGAGGGTTGGGGAGGGGAGCTACCTCTTGTTGCCTCCTCAAGCCTAGCTAGAGACCTATCTTTGTCTTTTGGTTGTTTTTGCCATGGAAAGGGCAGAGTGACTAGCTAAAGGGCCTAGATATGAGAAGGAGAAACAGAGATGGTGCTTCTCCTCCCAGTTTTGGGGCCCGAAGCCAATGGGTAGAGATGGTATGGCTAGGTATTTGGACTCCTGGCTGTGACTTGAAGCTAGTTGCCTTGATATCTCAAATATCTGAAGACAAAAAGGAAGTGAAAGGCCATGTGAACCCAATCAGGAGTGGTCGGTTTGGTTCAGTTTGCTGCAGCAAGACCTAGAGAGCAAAAGGGAAAGGAGTCCTGGCTAGGATTGCTCTGAGGTGGTACACCTAACAATAATCATGATGATGATAAGAAGACATTTGAAATACTATGCATTCAGTACTCAAAAATGATTTTTTTTTTTTTGAGGAAGATTAGCCCTGAGCTAACTGCTGCCAATCCTCCTCTTTTTGCTGAGGAAGACTGGCCCTGAGCTAACAGATGCGCCCATCTGCCTCTACTTTATATGTGGGATGCCTACCACAGCATGGCGTGCCAAGCAGTGCCATGTCCGCACCCAGGATCCGAACCAGCGAACCCCAGGCTGCCGAAGCGGAATGTGCGCACTTAACCACTGTGCCACCAGGTTGGCCCCTCAAAAATGACTTTTTTTTTTTAAAATATTTTATTTTTTCCTTTTTCTCCCCAAAGCCCCCCAGTACATAGTTGTATATTCTTCGTTGTGGGTCCTTCTAGTTGTAGCATGTGGGACGCTGCCTCAGCGTGGTTTGATGAGCAGTGCCATGTCCGTGCCCAGGATTCGAACCAACGAAACACTGGGCCGCCTGCAGCGGAGTGCACAGACTTAACCACTCGGCCACGGGGCCAGCCCCAAAAATGACTTTTAATTCAGTAGTCCAAGCACCTTTTGGTCTAGGGCTGGCAATAACCAGCAGTAGTTCTTGGTGGCATAAGAGTTGGTGACTATTTAACCGACCCACCTAAGAAGGTCTAAATGATCTAGGTTGAGTGACTTGTGAAACACTGAAAGGACCACAGAGATGTTTCTTTTCATTTGCTTGGCATCCTAACCATCTCCCCCTTTTCTTTCTCCACACCACCCCCATCCCCTATATTCATACCATATGTGGCTCTGGACCAGGTGGAGAGATGGAACCGCCGTGATCAGAAGCTGCTGGAGGCAGTGCAGCGGGGGGACGTGGGACGCGTGGCTGCCCTGGCCTCCAGGAAGTCGGCCCGACCCACCAAGTTAGACTCAAACGGCCAGTCCCCGTAAGTAAGTCCTCCTGAGCCCACCCTTGGTATGTGGTTCCCTTTGAAAGCCCCAAACCCCAATATGATGTAGGACCAGGGAATGCCTACAACTTCAGAGCCCTTTTTGTCTTAATTAGCAAGGCTTTTGATAAATCTTTGCTATGTATCAAGTGCTGTACAAGGTGAGGGAAGAAGATATTGTCCCTGAGCTATATCCACCTCAAAACCCAGATTGACAACACTGACTAAAAAGGACATAAAGCCTATGAAACAAACAGAAAACTGATACATACACAAAATAGAGTATTTCTTCATTGCACAAGTAGGACAGTGTGTATGCTTAGGAAATCAGGAATGAAGTGGTAGCCATGAGAGTCACATGGCTAGAAGGAGTGACAAGGAGAAGGGGGATATTATTCATTGTTTCTGCCTAAGTCCACCTTCAAATGCCCAGCCCTCTGCTCTGCTCTGGCTGACTCTTTCTGTGACCCTTCCAGTTTGCTAAGGGTCCTGTCTCAAAGCAACAGGTAATTATGTGTTCCCTGGACATCCCTGCAAAATCTGAGATTGCTCGAGACCTGCACCTCTTATTTCCATTTTTGCTTACAGTTTCCTCTGACTTTATGACAGTAGGCCATATAGCCTTCTCTTTCTCAGAAAGTCAGACTAGGGGAGCTTCCCCCTCTGCTTTTAGGATTGACTTTGGGGTGAGGGAGCATAGCTTGTAGTGCTTATTAAGAGCCCCCTACTCCTCATTCCCTGGTCCCTTCATCCTTCTGCCTCTCGGCTTTGATTATGGCAGGTTTCATCTGGCAGCATCCAAAGGCTTGACGGAATGTCTGACTATACTGCTTGCAAATGGGGCTGACATCAACAGCAAGAATGAGGATGGTAAGTCTGAGCACTGGGCCATGCTGCTTGCTTTTCTCTTCACAACAGCAGTAAGGGTCAGTGCTAGGCCCTGCTAGACACCCCAACTATAGCCCCTGCTTCTCTCCTCATAAGTTCTGACCAGTATCCTTCCAGGGGTTCCCCTCTCTACATACCTCACCCCCACTCCCACCTCTACCACAGGTACCAGGCACTTGGGGAACAGGAATTTCTGGCTCCGTGTGGCTGAGAACTTCTCTCTGTAATCTCCCTCTGATTATCTGTGCATCTCTTGCCCTCCCTCCCTGTGAGTCATTGGCATTCATGGGGCCACCCACCCTCCCTACCCTCCTTTCTCTTTCCAGGAAGCACCGCCCTGCACTTGGCCACCATCTCCTGCCAGCCACAGTGTGTCAAGGTCCTGCTGCAGGTAAGAGCAGCCTCTTGTTACTACTCCTGCAAAGGGACTCAGTGGACCCAGAGTATTCTAACTTTATCTTGTAGTCACAAATAATATTTGGTCAAATATACCCTACTCATCCCCAATAAAAGAACTGGTAATCATTTATTCATTAATTCACAAACATTTATTTAACACCTACTGTGTGAGGCACTATGCTTAATGCTGCCCTTGAGGGCAGGTCATAAAGCAGTGTTGCCAAGGACTGACTGACAGTCAGTCAATCTGCATATGTTGAGCTCTGCGATTGGCAGCGCCACTGTGGAGACTTAACTGCTGGGATGATGGGCAGGTGGAAAGAGGGAAGTCCTGTTCAAATTAAACCAAAATCGTACTGTCTGTTTTCGAGGAGTTTGTAGCCTAGGAGCACAAAGAGAAATATACATGCAAAATGATATGTGGACAACTTATAAATAAGTCTCCAAAAGTACAAAACGTACAGTTTAACAGGCCATTGGGCAGATGGCTGTTCTGCTTTTGTTCTTCCCGGCCATTTCCAAGTTTCCCAATTACAGTATGATCCTAAAGTATCAGTCATGGACTCAGGTGTCATTTTCCTGAAACTGTGTACTTACCTATAATCTGATTTTTCTTAGGCCCTAGTTTTAAGAACCAGGGCTGAAATTCAAGGCTACCTGTCATCTGCAAGGAATGGATTGGGCTTGTCTAGTAGTTGGCCAGAGTCATGATCCTCCTGCCACTCCCCGTGGTACTATGGAAGTTGGTGACCCAACGTGGGGTAGGGATGAGGATGTTAACGCCATGTCCATGCTACTTCCCTTCGTTGCTGTTTGTAGCATGGTGCCAATGAAGATGCTGTGGATGCAGAAAATCGTAGTCCGTTGCACTGGGCAGGCATGTACCAGGGGACTGGTGGGAAACAGGGCTGCAGGGACCATAGGGTGGGAAGGGAGGGGAGGATAACATGTGGTGGGAAAGGCAGGCCAGGGCTGACTGCTAAAATGGTTGGAGGGGATGTTGGGTCATTGTCTGCCTAGATAGCCTTCTTGCTGCCCCTTAACCCAATCATCACTTAACCCTCCCCAGCCTCCTCTGGCTGTGCCTCAAGTGTGCTCCTGTTGTGTGACCACGAAGCCTTTCTGGACGTCCTGGATAAGGTGAGCGTCAGCTGGGCAGCGCCATACACAGGGAGGCTGCTGCTCTCTCTGAGCTTGATTGTGCAGCACCACCTCCTCTTCCCTTTTCCCCTGCTCCTCCTCTTCTTCCTCACAGAGAGGTTAAGTCTTTATCTTCTGGAGAGCTTCTAACCCTCTGAAAAGGAGCATCTAGCCCCAGGACCTGGGTTTTTTTCTGGAGTTGGTAGGATTGTGTCAACCCCCTGGTTCCCCCAGCTCCTCATGAACCCCCCTTCCACAATCTGTGCAGGATGGACGTACACCCCTGATGATTGCATCACTGGGTGGTCACACAGCTATCTGCTCACAGCTACTACAGAGAGGCGCCAGAGTTAATGTCACGGACAAGGATGACAAGTGAGCCTTCCTCATCTTCCCACCCCAAATCCAGATCCTGACCAATCTAGAAATGAGCTACTGGGCAAAGTGTGTGTGTGTGTGTGTATTGCGGAAAAAGGCAGGTTGGTCTCTGTTTTCTTGGGAACCTCTTTCCTTCCAAGTGGTGGTTTAGAAGAGCTCTGCCTGCTGCTTCACTATTTTCCTCTTGGGGAGTTGAGAAAACTTTCCTTATAGTTTCCTATTCAGCTGCCGCCACCACCATCTTCCTAGCATAGATGACTCCAGAATTAGAATCAGCACCTCTGAACCCATTAGTTTAATTTTATGGTTTTCAAGCTATCTTATAAGCAATGGAATCCTTTTTTCCAAGAAAGAATTTATACAGAACCTCAATATATAAAGCAGATGAAAATGGAGCCCTTCCAATTGGCCCCCTGCTTTCTGATGCTGCAGCTCCAAGGAATGACATTTGAAAAGTTCTGGCGTGGTCTAATGCTTTGTAATTGGCTGGTGTTGGTCTGTGGTTCTCCTGACCACACTGAGTGGGAACTGACCTGGTGATGGAATTTCTGGAACCAGGTCTCCTGGATTCCATGGGGAAAGCCTATGCTCAGGTTTGTCCCAACCCACAGATCGGCTCTGATCCTGGCCTGTGAGAAAGGCAGCGCTGAGGTGGCTGAACTGCTCCTGAGCCATGGAGCGGATGCAGGGGCGGTGGACAGCATGGGGCATGATGCTCTGCATTATGCTCTACGCACACAAGACAAGGTGCTGTGGAGGCTGCTGCGGCAGGCCCTGAACCGGCGGCGGCAGGGAGGTAAAGCTGATTCCCTTTTGTAACTTCAAGATTCTCCTCAATAGCCTTAGAACCAAAGAGACTTCTTAGAATCCCATTCATTCCCAGGGAAGTAATCCCTCTGACAAATAATTGTCACTTTAATTGAGAGCTCACTTATTTATTGCTGCTACTATGAGATGAATCCAAATTCCCAAAAGCATGGTCATGAAATTCCTTAATGCAGCTTTGTCTCTCACTGAGGGGAACTCTGGCTAGTACTATTGCTAGCATTTACGAGTTGTAATTGTACATCTATTTGTGTGATTTGCTGGCCAATCCTCTCTCTTCCCTACTAGTCTGTAAACCCCTGAGAGGACAAGCCATTTCTGTTTTGCTCACCATTGAGGTCCTCGTGCCTGTAACAGTGCATGGCATGTATAATACATGAGTGAGTGAACAAAATGAATGAGCTGTCACACCTCTGGGATAGAGAACCAAGACTGCTGGAGAGTTAGGGACCCGTTGAACAGGGGGGCTCCCAGCACCAGGAAGTGTGTAATAAGCGTTATTACACTGAGGGGCCACTCCTCTCAGAGAAAGTTTGAAAACAGAGTGTGGGCTAGAAGTACATGGGACTTGTCTCCTCTCTCATTTCCCCCATGTCTTTTCACATAGGTCAGGGACTAGTTCAACATCCAGATCTTGCATCTCAGGTAAGACCCTAAGTGCCTGCCTCCCCTTTTTGCTTCTGTCCCACCCCAGGCTATCCCACTGGGACATCAGGTTGTGAACCTTGGGGCACTGAGACAGCCTAAGAGAAGAAAGGCCCTTCTGGGGCTAGGTTAGCGGCCTGGCTTTACTTCCCTGTTCCTTTATCCACATAGGCCTTTCCATCTGAGCCTCAGGTGGGTTCTCCACCAAAGAGCCCATGGAGAGCGGAGGCTGAGGAGGAGCAGGAAGAAGAGGAGGATGAAGAAGACCCATGCTCAGATGAGTGGAGGTGGAAGTATGAAGAGGAGCAAAGGAAAGTTTCTCAGTTGGAGCAGAAGCTGATACGAAAGACAGAAGAGTGTAAAGCTCAAGCTGCAGCTTACTTGGGCCTGGAGAACCAGATTCGAGAGCAGGTGCAGGAGCTGGGGTTCCTTCTATCCCAAGAGCCTGGAGCTCCAGGAGAGCAGGGCACTAGTCTCCGGCCTGGAGGAGATGGCATGGAGCAGGGTTGTCCCCTGGACCTGCTGGCTAAGCACATACAAGAGCTAAAGAAGCAGCAGCGAGCAACAGCTGCAGCCACAGCAAACCCAGTATTAGCCTCCAAGAAGGCAGAGGATTCAGCCCCAGGGGAGATCCAGTATGAAGCCCATGTGAAGTCCCAAACAGAAGAACAGGGGCCACCCCAGAGCCCAAGGTCTGATACCATTGGGAAAACCACAGGACAGCAACTTACCACCAATGGTGGACAGTCCCTTGGCCCTGATCATACTGACCAGCAGCATGCTGACCGGAAGGAGAGGCCCCAGACCCCAAGGGCTGAACCAATAGGCACAGAGGCTGAACCAGTGGGCACAGCAGCCATGAACCAGCTCCTGCTACAACTAAGGGAGGAGCTGGCTGCAGTGTGGCGAGAAAAGGATGCTGCCCGGGGGGCTTTGTCAAGACCCGTCTTGGAGGGAGCTCTGGGGACACCCCGGGCTGAGGCTGCAGCAGCTGCCTGGGAGAAGATGGAAGCCAGGCTGGAGCGGGTGCTGGTGAGGCTGGATTGGGCAAAGGCAGGACTACAGATGAAACCTGAGGCCCCTGCCCAGGAGCCCAGAAAGGGAGCCCCAAAGGCAGGCCTAGGGACCATCGCCAAAGAGGATGAAGGAAGGGAGAAAAGGGTTCTTGGGGCCCAGGGACAGCCTCTATGGGTGCCTGGAGGGGAACAGATGCCTGGAGGAGGCCTGGCAAAGGGACAGCTGGAGAAGGAGGTATCAGCACTGAGACTGAGCAACAGTAACTTGCTGGAGGAATTGGGAGAGCTGGGGCAGGAGCGGCAGCGGTTGCAGAGGGAGCTGCAGTCACTGAGCCAGCGGCTGCAGCGGGAGTTCGTGCCCAAACCAGAGGCACAGGTCCAGCTACAGCAGTTGAGGCGGAGTGTGGGGCTGCTGACAGATGAACTGGCAATGGAGAAGGAGGCCACGGAAAAGTTGCGGAAACGCCTGGCCTCCCAGAGCAGTGGCCTCCAAGGGCTGTGGGACTGCCTTCCCCCAGATCTAGTGGGCAAGGGGAGCGCACGAGGCACAGTGGCTGAGCCCTTGGAGGAGCTGCAGGCCTGCATCAGCACCCTGGTGGACAGGCACTGTGAGGCACAGCAGGTGCTGGCTAGGTTGGAGGAGGAAAATCAGCAGCTGCGGGGGTCCTCTGCCACACGTGCAGAGCCAGGCTCCTCCTCAAAGGACCCAGCATCCCCCCAAGTGGCTGCGCTGGAGCAAGACTTGGGGAAGCTGGAGGAAGAGCTGCGGGCTGTTCAGGCCACAATGAGTGGGAAGAGCCAGGAGATCGGGAAGCTGAAGCAGCTGCTTTACCAAGCCACAGAGGAAGTGGCTGAGCTGAGGGCCCGGGAGGCAGCCAGCTTGCGGCAGCATGAGAAAACTCGGGGCTCACTAGTGGCCCAGGCCCAGGCTTGGGGTCAGGAGCTAAAGGCTCTGCTAGAAAAGTATAACACAGCGTGCAGGGAAATGGGTAGGCTTCGGCAGGCTGTGGCGGAGGAGCGCCGCAAGAGTGGAGACCTGGCTGCACGGGCTGCTGAGCAGGAGCGACAGGCCAGTGAGATGCGCGGGCGCTCAGATCAGTTTGAGAAAACAGCGGAGCTGCTGAAAGAGAAGATGGAGCATCTCATTGGGGCTTGCCAGGACAAGGAGGCCAAGGTGAACAGGCGAGACGGCTGTGGGGAGCATGGGGAAGATTTCTGTGTGTTTTAGGGTTTGCTAATCTGAATCTACCTTTGGTTAGTCAGATTGATACCCCAAACACAATGCCAATCATTTGTAAGGACCACACTATGCTCTCCTGGGTCTGAGGGGGTTTAGGGTTGAGATAGGAGGTGAGGTAAGATATAAACAGAAGAGAGAAGGGCGTTTACCTATTAAAATTTGGGACTCGGGGTTCAGAAGCAGTGTGGTCAGGGTTACCACCAGTGGAGTACTATGATTTATTGGCATCTTTTTTTTTGCTTTATCTCCCCATATCCCCCCGGTACATAGTTGTATATCTTAGTTGCAGGTCCTTCTAGTTGTGGCATGTGGGATACCACCTCAATGTGGCCTGATGAGTGGTGCCATGTCGGCGCCCAGGATCCAAACCGGAGAAACCCTGGGCCGCCGCTGCAGCAGGGGAGCGTGCAAACTTAACCACTTGGCCACGGGGCCAGCCCCGGTTTATTAGCATTTTGACTTAAAACAGTGTATTAGCCTGGGGAGAGGTCTGATAATATGGTGGGTTGCTGTGGTTTTGCTAGAGTTCTGAGGGGGTGACTCAGGGGCTGATGAGTTAAGAAAAGTAGACTATAGCCCCTTCTTCCCCTCCCACGTCGATCAGAGTAGGTTCTACAAGATTTCCATTGACAAAGGGGGCTCCAATGCAAAGAAAAAAAGTTTGAAAACCACTGTGAGATAGCTTAGTTTCCTAATGATTGCTTCCTAATAAGTGAGTGTAAGTCTACCTGTTTCTAGCAGAAGGATTTTATGAATTCTGAAAAGTCAACTTACAAATAAATTTAGTAATTCTAGAACTACCTATGAAATGAATGAATTTAGGGGGCCAGCCCCGTGGCTGAGTGGTTAAGTTCGTGCGCTCTGCTTCAGCGGCCCAGCATTTCCCTGGTTCGAATCCTGGGCGTGGACATGGCACAGCTCATCAGGCCATGCTGAGGCGGAGTCCCACATGCCACAACTAGAAGGACCCACAACTAAAAATATACAACTATGAACTGGGAAGCTTTAGGGAGAAAAAGGAAAAATAAAATCTTTAAAAAAAAAAAGAAATGAATGAATTCAGACTTCTTATTAAAATTTGTAACATGATCAAATTAAGAATGATTAAAAAATATGGAGAGTATACACTTTACATAATATAGAGTGCATAAAAATAGAAAATGTTAGAATAGGAATCAGTGTGAGGTGGAGCTAATAAAGAAAGGAGGAATTTTGTGTTGGTGTTGAAAAAGAAGACGAAAGTAGACAAATGGCAAAAGAAAATAGTGTAGTGGACTCTGGACTGAAATTGTCTGGATTTGATTTCAGTTTCAAAACTTACTGATTGATCGTGGGCGAGTTATCTTAGAGCCTCTAAATCTCTAAGCCTCAGTTTTCTCATCTATAAAATGGGAATAATAAAACGATTGTGGTGAGGTCTACATTAAATAAGATATTATATTTCAAATATTCAGAACAATTTTGGCAAATGCTAAGTACTCAATAAAAGGTAGCTATTTTTATTATTCCTATTACCACCATTCCTATTACTGCTGGTTATCATTAACCACATTTGTGCCTCAGCCTCGCAAACCACAAAAACTCACCTCCATTTCCCTCAGTGGTCAGCAGTCAGAAGTGGGTCAGGGGGCCAGCCCTGTTGCGTAGTGGTTAAGTTTGTGCACACCGCTTCGGCAGCCCGGGATTCGCCGGTTCTGATCCTGGGTACAGACCTACGCCATGCTGTGGTGGCATCCTACATGGAAGAACTAGGACGACTTACAACTAGGGATATAAACTATGTACTGTGGCTTTGGGAAGAAAAAAACAAGAAGGAGGTCAGAATCCAGTATAGAATTAAGAGCATGGACCATGAATGCAAAGAGATGTTGGTTCAAATCATGATTTCATCACTTACTAGCTGTATGATTTTGACAAATTACTTAACTCAGGTTCCGTATCTACAAAATGTGAATAATATTTCCCTTAGAGAAGTATTGTTTTTCTCAGAACAGAAGAAGAACTGTTTTGAGTATTAAATAAGACAATGTGTATAAAAGTATCTGGCACATATTAAATATCCAACAATAGGAAACTGACCTTGACCCTGGGTGGTATTGGAGTGGGAAATGACTTGGGCCTCATTGCTTCCCTTTCTTTCCTTTTGGCCTCAGATCAAGGAATTGTTGAAGAAGCTGGAGCAGCTTTCAGAGGAGGTCCTAGCAGTTCGGGGAGAAAATGCTCGCCTTGCCCAGCAGCTGCAGGTATGTTTTGGCCCTCAGGGAAATGGATGCTGCTAGAGAAGACAGTGGACAGTGGAAGTGATGTATATGTCAGAGAGAGTCTGGGAACTGCAGGGACTTGGCCAGGCCAAACGATGGCCAGTGATGGGCAAGCAAGCTTACCTGGCACAGCTGACCACTTCATTTTATTGCTCCTCATGCTTGGGGTATCAGGGTGAGTGTGGGAAGGTGGGCACATAACCTCCCATTGATGCTCACTCCCAGGAGTCCCAGAAGAACCACGAAGAGATCATCTCCACCTACAGGAATCATCTGCTGAATGCTGCTCAGGTGAGCATGGGGGCAGGTAGAGACAGAGAGCTGGGCAGCGGGTATTGCATTTGGGGTCCCTTCTCTTCCTGCAGATAACTTGTCATTTCTCAGAAATCTGGACTTCAGATGCTCTGGTGCCAGGTCTTTGGATCTCATTAGGTGGATTGAGAGAAGTTGTGCACAAATGTGAGGAGGGAGAGTGTCCCTCCTTTTCAATTCCCTGATCCACTGTAAGGCCTTTTCCTGTCCCTTATGTCCTTTCTCAGTTTCCTCCTGAACCAAATTATCCCTCACCAAGGAAGAAGAGGTGGGTGGCTTGCTCCTTTATTAGGAATAATAATAACTACAAAGAATCAAGCACATTGTGCACCAGGTGCTTTGCTTCATATTCATAGTTGTAACTCTCACAGCAATCCTGAAAAGTAGACATCGTTATCTGCCTTGTAAAGATTAGGAAACAGCCATGGAGAAGTTAAATACTGTAAGTGAGGGCACAAAGTTAATCAATAGCATTCCACTATACCAAAGAACCTCTCCCCTGCCTGTCTCTCCCCATTTTATGATCTTCATCTCCTTTTCTTTCTTTCCTGCCACCAACAGGGCTACATGGAACAAGATGTGTACCATATCCTACTGCGAATCCTCAGCATGCAGGAGGACTGAGGCAGCCTGTGCCCTGAGGGATTCAGGATTTCTCTGTTGTGAGTTGAGGGATGAGGGAAGGAACTTGGGAGAAAGGACTTAGGAAAGGAGACTTAGGATGGGAACTGGAGTCTCCTTTTGTCCCATATAGTGGCTGACACTAGGGAGTCCTGTGGGACATAGAGCATTTGAAGTGAGGTCAACTGAGAGACATAATATGGGCAATCACTGGGTGGAGTCAGGAATCAGTGAGCAGGTAGACTGAAGAGGGCTGACTTATGGGATGGAGGCTGAAAAGAGGAACAGAGTGACTCTCCTAAGGTCTGAGGTAGAGAGATACGAGTGAAAGATGAGTGATGGTGGGATGGTGGTGCAAAGTTGTTTCTTAGAGTGGGACTCTTCAAATTCCAGAATCTCTCTTTCACTTCCACACCACTCATTCAAAGAGTAGTCATCCCCATTCTTCTCCCTGCCCCTATGCTGGTAGTCATCTTCTCCAATGCAGGCAGATAAGGATCCCCTTTAGCATCATGGCATAGGTGGGAGGAGACTGATGATATGGAAGTGTGTGCATTTCATCCTTGAATTTCTTCTTTCAGGGAACAAGAGCATTCCTTGTTGCCAGAGGCTCCATCAGGCTGTGGTGGGTGGGCGGTTGGCTACTAGGGGTGGTATGGGTAGGGCTTCACCTGACATTATGGACCCCAGACCTGAGAACCTGAAGCCTAGAATCAGCATGGATGAGACCAGCGGAGGTGTGGATGGAAGACATCTCTATGGAAAATAAAACAGGAGGCAGGATGGTGCTGGGTGTCGTTGTTTTTTCTGTCTAAAGGGGAGTGACGGAAGGAATCTTTTTCATTTCTTTTTGATCACAAATTGCCTCATAAGTCAGCAGCTTTCAAACTTTGATTGTGATCCATACTAAGAAATACATTTTGCATCCTGTGAGTACATATCTGAAATAATATTTACCCTTACTATTTCTATTCTAGTATACTATTTCTATGCTATTACTATTTCTATTCTATTCTCGGCTACTATACTCCACCAAAAAAATATTGGTTACTGGGGCCGGCCCCGTGGCTGAGTGGTTAAGTTCACGCGCTCTGCTTTGGCGGCCCAGGGTTTCCCCGGTTTGGATCCTGGGCGTGGACATGGCATGGCTCATCAGGCCATGCTGAGGTGGCGCCCCACATAGCACAACCAGAAGAACTTACAACTAGAATACACAACTATGTACTGGGGGACTTCGGGAAGAAAGAAAAGAAAAAAAAAAAAGAAGATGGGCAACAGATGTTAGCTCAAGTGCCAATCTTTAAAAGAAAAAAAATATTAGTTACAATACATCCATTAATGGGTCAAGATCCAGTTTGAAAAACAGCATTCCCACAGTTTGAAAAACTGCCCTCTGTTAAAACGGGGATTGACACTCTTCCTTTCTTTTTCTCAAATCTGTCGCATACTGACCAGCACAGCTCTAGTCTTTTTTCTCTACCTTGGGACTCCTGAGTCCCACTATCTTTTTTAAGAAGGAGAGATTGAGAGACCTGGATTTTCTTCAGGATGTACAATCTAAAATGTACTATCATGTGTGAAGCCGTGTGTCCAGATTCGAGGCACATGGTCTCATGTGGTCAGTGTTCTTTGCCCCTGGTGCAAAGAGGGATGAAAATTCTAATTCCTGGAAAAGGGATGAAGGGATATCAGAGTTGGCTTCTTCCCTCTAATTCTGTTCTCAGACTAAAAAAAATGTATCTCTCTTCCCCAGTTCCCCTGAGTCTCCTCCCCTTCCTGCCCCTCCACTAGCCAGAGTGCTAGGTGAGAGTGAGGCAGTGAGTTCCTCCAAAATCTGGAATTGCAGTTTGGCGGCCCACATACTGATCCCTCCCCATTTCTTCTCTCAGCCCGCCCCCTGCTGGGTTATGCTGGGTCAACCAACAGCGGTTTGGCAGTAAAGAGACTGACTGGGTTGAGAGAAGAGTGGGGAGGGGCTGCTGTGGAAGACAGGGGGCCACAAAAGGGCTGCAAAGCCTGGCTCCAGGGTTTGGCCAGGAAAAGAGCAGCTACGTAGATCAGGTCTTAGAGAAGATGAGGGGCAGCTTTGGGGTTTGTGTGGATGCACACAGGACTGCTTTAAGGCTGGGAGAATGGAGAGAGGAGGCGATGATGGAGACAGGGAGAAGGGGTGCAGCTACTAGTGGAAGAGCATCAAAAAGGTCCAAGCAGGGGGCCAGCCCGGTGGCGCAGCGGTTAAGTGCACATGTTCCGCTTCAGCAGCCCAGGGTTCGCCGGTTTACGGACATGGCACCACTTGGCAAACCATGCTGTGGTAGGCGTCCCACATATAAAGTAGAGGAAGATGGGCACAGATGTTAGCCTGTCTTCCTCAGCAAAAAGGAGGATTGGCAGCAGGTGTTAGCTCAGGGCTAATCTTCCTCAAGAAAAAAAAAAAAGGTCCAAGTCATCTCTATTAAGGGGAACAGAACTTCTCTTTTCCTCCCTGCTCTTAAGAGTTACCAAAGAATATAAAAGGACTATTACATTCCTTATTATATATGGGGTGTGGGGTTGGAATAATGAAGAAACTGCCAAGAGAAGTGTCCAGAGAGGGGGAGATCATTTGGCTAAGTTCAAGTATGAGTCAGAAAACAGCTTTGGTAATGGAGGCCAGGGCTTTGGCTCCCTCCAGGGCCCCTGGAAGCTGATCCCAGGATGGCTGAGCTGTGGGAATGGTCAGGGATGTTCATGTTAATACAGGAGTGGAACCTTCCCCAGAGCCTAGTCTTCCCAAACAATCCCCCTCTATAAACCCCATAAACTGTTACCTCAACAGCCCCAAGCCCTGAAATTTTCCTTGATTTCATAAATAAATCTTTCTTTCCCAAAGTAACTCTAGTCCTGATGTTCCCCCGTTTCCTCCCGGGCTGTTTAATGGAACTTCGGTAGGGACTTATTACTCCTGTTTCACTTCTTCCTCGTTCTTCAGGCTTCAAATGTAGGAATGTATGGGCGAAAGCATACAATACGCACCAAGGTGAAGCTTGGTGGGCCACAATGGGGTTCAGACTATGTCCTTGAATATCCTCAGCCTGGAACTTGGTCCTGATTTGCAGTTTCCCTCCTTTGTCTGGTAGCATTAACTTATTAAATTGATATTTAAAGAGTCTATGTGCCAGGCACTGGGGACAGAGTGAACAGCACAGAAAAGTTCTTGTCCTCCTGGAGCATGCACACAGATCAGATTCAGGTACCTTCGGGCCTACTTTTTTGCTATTCTGTAGGGATGCTAGAACTTATAGCCTCAAATTGACTATTAAAGGAGATCCCTCCTTTATGAAATCACTAGGAATCAATGTGAGGTTGACTTTCTTTTTTCCTTTTACCTTTTATAGCTTTATTGAGGTATAATTGACATACAATACAAACTGCACATACTTAAAGTGTACAATTTGATAAGTTTTGACACATGTATACACCCATAAAACCATCACACAATCAAGATAATGAACATATCCATCACTCCCAGAGTTCCCATCTCTCTTTTTTCAGTCTTCCCTATCCTCCTTCTCTCCAAACCATTGAAAATTCTAGAAAATACAAACCAGTCCATAACAACTTTTGATCTAGAGGACTGAACAGAACAAAAAAAACCAAGCTCAGGGCCTGATGAAGACTCAAATGTTGGAGGAATCATTTGGGATTTAGAACCAAATACTTGAGCTTGAGTTTAGCTTGAGGTCCCACCAGTGCTGGCAGCAAAGCAGCAAGGAAAGAACCTGAGCGTCAGGAGAAGGTGGTCATCTTCCCTAGGGACAAAATCCACAAAGTAGTTGGGCATGGTCCAGTTCAGCAGGTACCTGGGGACATTGGCAGGCTGGGACCTTCAGTCTTATGGTGTGGGTGGGGTCTCACAAGAAGGATTATACCGAAGGTTTAAGCTAAATAAGAGGATTCATATTATTTATTACTCTTTTTGTATGCTGATTACAGGTTTAACTGTCTTGTCTGCTGCTGCCAGACTGAGAGGTCCTGCAAGGCTCTTATGTCTTCAGCACCTAACAATCTCTGAACAGCATTTAGATATTTATTGAACAAATGACATTATCATTTAGGTCCCAACCAACTCTACCAAATACTATGCCTTTTTCCAGTACCTAGTTTGGGTAAACTGCCCTAAAGTTGGTGCTTTCACAGGACCTGCACGCGGGTGATTAGCCTGGTTGAGAACGGGACCTCTGGAAGGTCCAAGGCTTTGACGAAGGAGAATAGTAGGTGGTTCAGAGAGGGGCAGAAAGACGCCTTTGGGCACCTTTGGGTAAGAAAACCTCCCCTCTGTTCACCTTCAGCTACACCAAGTGTGTGTGGTCTCTGGTGACGGGTCTGTGTATTTGGGGTAGGAGGTGGGGGACCACAGGCAGAGTTAGGGCTTAGGTACACTTTGGATTCTAGCAGCCCAGGCTTTCCCCGAGGGAGAAGGCTCCTTTCAAGCAGGAATCTCTTAACGCGGTCAGATCCCTGGTCCACACTGTCTTATCTGCAGTATGCCTCCACCCCAAGCCCGTACACCAGCGCAAGGGGTCAGAGCGGTAGTGAGAATGATGTCGTCTCCCCTGATCCACTCACTCGGGGAGTTAATCTCTCCAGCGACAGGCTCAGAGTCCCTCCCTCTCCCGCCTCAGACTCCGCCCCCTCCTCGATCCCGGCGGGCTGACCCACGAGGGGGCGGCCCCAGCCCGAGCGCTGGGCCGGGCGGAGCTCCCGCCCGGGCGGAGCTCCGGCTGCAGCGTCTAGCTGCCGGACTAACCTCCTGCGGGTCAGACTGCGGGAGCGGCGCCGGGCCCCTTCCCCCCACATCCCCAGCCCACCCTCTGAGCCTCCCGAGCCCCCTCCCCGCTCCCTGCAACTGTGCTGGTAAGTCCCGCTCTCCGCACCAAACTTTTTTGCTGCCGAGTTTGAGTCCTACAGTCGGACCACGAGCTACATTGTAGTTGGAGGGGGAGGGGGCGAAGGATTGAGAGTAGCCGTCTTGAAATGAACTATTCACGACTCCATAGCTTCGCTAAAATGGATCAGATCTCACCCATTTCCCGAGTTGGTAGAACTCTTTGATTTTAGCTAAACTTGTAAAGAGGGAAATGAGGGTATTCGCTTCAACTTCGCTACCCCCCTCCCCCATTTCTCTAAGATTTAGCAGTTCTCAATACTTTCCCTCCATATTTCAAGTTTCTTTGGCTCCCTAAAAGCTCATCCCCTCCCAACTCTGGCGTGGCAAAGTCCCCCTCCCCCAGGCACTTCGGGTCCGCCTCCTCTCGGTTACCCCGGGGGACCGCGCGATCTTTCGGGCCATACCCTCCCTCCGGGTATACGGGTCTTGCATACCGGCCAAAGACGTACACGGGCTGGGTCCGGCTGTAGAGGGAGGGGCTGAGGCTGGGGCTTGTCCGAAACCAAGCGGGCGGGGCCGGGAAGGGGAGGTGTAGGGGGCCGGACGGGGCGGAGCAGGCGGCATTTGCGGCCGGCGCCGGGGTGGAGAGTTGTGCGCCGGTCCCTGGGCCTGAGCTCGGGCTCGGGCTCCGACTCCTGCGATGTCTCAAGATGGCGGAACTGGGCGAATTAAAGGTACCGGCCCCCTCCCCCATCCCCATCTGGCTTGAGCCCGGTGGTGCGCCGATTCACGGAAGCGACTGAGACTGGGTGCTGAGGGCTCGGGTGCGGGCTGGAGACGTGGCGGGGACGGGCTGCTGGAGATGGGAAAGAAGTGGCTGTGGGCGAGGAAGGGGCTGCGGCGAGGCTCCGGGGGCGGGGCCGCGGGGCAGATGTAGGGGTGGGGCCGAGGGGAATTGCAGCTGTTGGGGGCCGAGGCGCAGGGGGCGGGGACACCGGGTGGAAGTCGGATTTGGTAGTGGGGGCAGATGTAGGGGTAGGGCCAGGGGGAAAGGCTCTGAAGAGGCGTAGGGGACCAAGAGATGCAACAGTAGGGGGGCAGATGTAGGGATGAGACTGAGGGGCAGATGTACGGGAGGCTCCTGGGGAAATGCAGCTGAGGATAGAGGCTTTGGGGCTGCTATTGGGATCCGAGCCTTGGGAAGTACCAGTAGGCGCCTGAGATCTAGGGGGCGGGGCTGTGCGGGCAGATAGATGGAGGGGTGGGGCAGGAGCATCCTGGAGGTTGAGAGGAAAATCCTGTTTTAGTGAGTCTTTGGGCAGAGACAGAGAGTAGAAAGAAGGGAAGTTCTTGGCAAAGCTAATAGAGAAATAAAGACAGGACAGAGGGAATAAAGATGGGGAGAAAGGCAGAGGAGCAAGTTTTCATCACATTCCTCAAAGGGGGCCCAAAGCTTCCTATGAGGGGAAGAACTGTGGAGGGCTAACAAGGCCTACCCATGGCAGGGTCTCCTAGAGATTCACAGAGGGAAGTTCTTTAAGGAGAGAGCTTTTGTGCCTGCCCTCCCACTACCACACAGAGCCTTGAGGGTGACCATATCCGAGGACATCTCATAGGACATTTCCTAAAACTTTGGGTTCACCTCTCTGCCTCCTGGCTTTGTTCCGCCCTTTTAAATGGAGCCATAGTCCTGGGCAGGTTGAGGTCCAGTCACTGGGCCAGTTGCCTTTAGGAGAGCTCGAGATTATGCATGCTGGCTCAAGGGCCGCATCCCAGGGCCTCTGTTTAGAGCTCTGCTCTCTCCTCTTCTACCCCAGTGGAGGGGGAGGATCACTTATTTTCTCTATGGAGGAAAGGAGCAGATAGAGTAGAAGGAAGGATAGCTGGACTTGGCGATTTACTGTTGACCCTCTCCCTCGCCTCAAGTTTTGGTCTTGTTTCCCTCCCAGAAAAATAAGACTGGGGTGATTATGTAAATGACATTGAGAAAGGATTTGGGGGAGTTAGGAGCATTGAACCCTGCCCTGGAAACCCTGGCCACAAAAGCTCCAGAGGCTTCGGGAAAATAGCTGAGGTAGATTGAGTATTGGGAGGGGTGGGCTAGCCCCTTTCTTCCCTCTGGGGCTGTCTGGTCTGACTCTTCTTTTCCCCTTCCTTTCCCCTGTCTTCTATCCTCTTTTCAGGAGACTGGGATGGGTCTGAGAGTCTGAGAAAGAGCAGGAGACGAGATAAGAGTCCAGACTTGAGGCAGGGATGGAGGTAGGAGGCTGTAGTGGACTCAGAGCTGTGCCTGAGGATGGTTTGCTGTCTGCAGCCTGCCCCTTGCCCCCACCTGGTCAACTTTCAGGCATGGGGAGATAGGGTTGCTCAAGCTCTGGGGGGTAGTGGTGAGGTTGACCTGAGTTTGCTAAAGTGAGACTGAGATGTCCGTTTGACCAGGTCAGCTGTCTGGTGGTAATCCACTGGCTGCAAAGCATCTTTCTGATCAGTGCTGGAGGGAAAGAGGCACTGCCCACCTGGTAGCTCAGTCTCAGCATCCTTGGCAGGACAGGCAAGGTAGGATTCTCAAGCTTCTCTGTTCTCTGCAGCACATGGTGATGAGTTTCCGGGTGTCTGAGCTCCAGGTGCTCCTTGGCTTTGCTGGCCGGAACAAGAGTGGACGGAAGCACGAGCTCCTGGCCAAGGCCCTGCACCTCCTCAAGTCCAGCTGTGCCCCCAGCGTCCAGATGAAGATCAAAGAGCTTTACCGCCGACGCTTTCCCAGGAAGCCCCTGGGGCCCTCTGATCTCTCCCTGCTCTCTCTGCCCCCTGGCACCCCTCCTGTAGGCTCCCCTGGTCCTCTAGCTCCCATTCCCCCAGCCCTCTTGGCCCCTGGCACTCTACTGGGTCCCAAGCGTGAAGTGGACATGCACCCCCCTCTGCCCCAGCCTGTGCACCCTGATGTCACCATGAAACCATTGCCCTTTTATGAAGTCTACGGGGAGCTCATCCGGCCCACCACCCTTGGTACGACTCTTTGTGGTCCTTCAGCCTTCCTGGACTCTATGCACCTTCCCTAAGCCTTTCTTAGGCTTTAGTCCTGTGGGATCAGCAACCTGGGATGGGGGTACCTTCTGTGGCTGCCTGAGCATGGGCTTGGGAATAACTGCCGCCTTGTGTCCTCAGCATCCACTTCTAGCCAGCGGTTTGAGGAAGCGCACTTTACCTTTGCTCTCACACCCCAGCAAGTGCAGCAGATTCTCACATCAAGGTACATCTCTGTCAGTCCTCCTGACCATCCCTAGGGGGTTACCCTTGGAGTCTGCTCTCTGACTTTCTTTTCCGCCTGCTCTCCTCCCTCCATCCTCCTATACTTGCGTTGTCTCTTGTATGCCTCTTCTCTGTCCTCTGGACATCTAACTTTCTGTGTCTGTCTGTTCACCCCGGCCCTCCAGACATACTGATATCTTTCCCTCTCCCTCCTTGTTATAGGGAGGTTCTGCCAGGAGCCAAATGCGATTATACCATACAGGTGCAGCTAAGGTGAGTTGCTCCTCCCTTCCTGCCCTGCTGGGCTCCCATTGGGGGTTGAATGAAATAAGGGTATGACAGATGCTCTTGGGAGACAGCCCTGCTCTGCTGCATCCACCCCAGCCCTGGGACTGTTGTTGGATGCCGAGGGCTGAGGGCTACAGATATCCAAGACTAATTTTCTGAGGTTCCCTGCCTCTCTACCAGATTCAACTCAAGAAACTGCCTCCTACTCTTTCATCTTCTCTCACCTTTTACCAGGTTCTGTCTCTGTGAGACCAGCTGCCCTCAGGAAGATTATTTTCCCCCAAATCTCTTTGTCAAGGTCAATGGGAAACTGTGCCCCCTGCCGGTAAATATTCTTCTTCTGACAGTAACCCCTTCCCTGTTTTAGTTACTAAGTGTTAACTACAGACTTTTGATGAAAGAAACATGCCCAGCACAGTGCCTGGTACACAGTAGGTGCTCAATTTACTGACTGGATCATTCTAATCTAGAGTTTTAAGATAGGGCTGAACGAGGGTTCTGTCAGAACCCAGAGGAGGGACATTAGTTCTACACAAAGGTTCAGGGAAGACTTCTTAGAAGTGATGACCCCAGAGCTGAGAATTGGAAGAAGTGGGGCATCCCTATGCTTCCTCCTTAGGAACTCAGTGAATGGGTTCCTATTTCCTTAGTCAATGAATAAGCGCTCCTTTTCCCCCAGGAATAAACCCCACACACAATCCTAGATATTGCCCCAGTTTTGTGGGTCACTGAATGGGCTCCCATCTCCTTGGTCAGTGAGTAAGCTGACCTTCCCTCCAGGGAGTGAGTGACTGGAGACAAGAGGTCTTGACCAGTCCCTCCCTTCCCCAGGGTTACCTTCCTCCTACTAAGAATGGGGCTGAGCCCAAGAGGCCCAGCCGCCCCATCAACATCACACCCCTGGCTCGACTCTCAGCCACTGTTCCCAACACCATTGTGGTCAACTGGTCATCTGAGTTTGGACGGGTGAGCATGGCTGAGGCAGGGAGCCTTGGAGAACCCTGCAGGGAGTGATGGGGAATCATCGAGTGTTCTGGGTTGGGGAAATGTTTTCCTCTTTATGGGTCTGTCTACTTTAACCTGCTGTCTCTAGTTCTCATGGGACAAAGTGGGGAGTGGGGGTCATGGGGGAGGGTGATGGTGTGAAAGCAGAGGCTAACTTTCTCCCCACACCTCCAAGTAGAATTACTCCTTATCTGTGTACCTGGTGAGGCAGTTGACTGCAGGGACCCTTCTACAAAAACTCAGAGCAAAGGGTATCCGGAACCCAGACCACTCCCGGGCACTGAGTGAGTAACATCCTGCTCCTCTGATCTGGATCCAAGTCTTTCTGGCCCTCCAGTCTTTTCAGTCAAACTCATAGTCTTGTGACAACTTACCTCACCTCTCACATGAACCCCAACCCTTCCCCTATCCCCCTACCAATCTTTGTGGTTGAGAAGTGGGACCACCCCCAGGCACTGAGACACCCTTGCATTCCCAGTTATACATCTGCTTTGCACCTCAGAGACCCTGACTCCAGCCCTGCTGGAATGTGGGTTCTCCAGACTGGAAAGAGTCTTAAGGATCATCTAATCTAACCCTCTCATGACGCTTCAATTTCCTCTATGTCATCTCTGCCAAAGTGTCACCTAGCTATATTTAAGCATCTTCAGGGATGGGGAAATCCCCCTCCTTCCCCAGCCTTCATAATTCAGATCCCAGACCACCCCCATGTGACATCCCACTGGTCCCCAAAGTCTCTCTACCCAGCTGCCTCTCAGCCAGAGCTGTTTGGTTCTGTCCTCACCATCTCCTGGGCTTCCTCTTCAGCCTTGCTGATCCCATGGCTCTGGCCTCATTCTTGTTTCAGTCAAGGAGAAATTGACTGCTGACCCGGACAGTGAGGTGGCAACTACGAGTCTCCGGGTGTCACTCATGTGCCCGGTGTGTACAAGGGAGAAGAGAAGGGGAAGGAGGGTTGGGTTGAACCTTTGGACTCAGATGAGAGTTCTTAGGGCTGCTAGAGTGAGGCTCTCTGGGATGTGGGGACCTGACCAGAGAACTCATCTCTCTTAGCTAGGCAAGATGCGCCTGACTGTCCCTTGTCGTGCCCTCACCTGCGCCCACCTGCAGAGCTTCGATGCTGCCCTTTACCTACAGATGAATGAGAAGAAGCCAACGTGGACATGTCCTGTGTGTGATAAGAAGGCTCCCTATGAATCTCTTATCATTGATGGGTAGGGCCGTTATGCATTCTGCTTCTTCTTACCTAGGACATCCACTGAGACCACCCCCACCCCTCTCTGTCTCTATGGCTACAGAGAGAGAGCATACTTCCCCTCCCATGAACCTCAACTCTTAATCCATCTATCCCTTTTATATATTTTTTATATATATAATATATATTATAAATGGGATAGATTATATATATATTTCCAACATAGAGGACTTACTACATACTAGGCATCGTACTGAGCACTTTGCGTGCCTTATGTCATTGAATCCTCATCATAACCCTATGAGATACGTACTACCATTACAGATGAGGAAACTGAAACCTAGAGAGATTATCTTGCTCAAAGTTACGTTGTTAGTAAGTGGCAGAGCTAAAGTATCAAACTGTTATAATATATTGTCTATAACAGCTGCCTGACTTCTCACAGAGCATAGCAGTGAAGTTCTTTTGAGGGCCTGGATGTGCTGATCTAGCTGGTCCTAACCCCCATCCAGAGCCTATATTATGGTTCCTGTTCCCAGTGCCCTATTTTTTCTCCTCTTCTTCTCCCCAAAGCCCCCTGGTACATAGTTGAATATTCTAGTTGTGAGTGTCTCTGGTTGTGCTATATGGGATGCCATCCCAACATGGCCTGATGAGTGGCGCCATGTCTGTGCCCAGGATCCAAACCGGCGAAACCCTGGGCCACCGAAGCTGAGTGCGCAAACTTAACCACTTGGCCACTGGGCTGGCCCCCTCAGTGCCCTTTTTGAGATGGTTTATGGAGTTCTTTATCTTTGCTTCTTAGTGTCTTGTCTCTAGTACTACATGAATCAAGTGTTTAGAATGTTATTTATTTTAAAACTTAGCATTTAAAGTTTGCAAAGCTTTTTTTGTTTTTTTTAAAGATTGGCACCTGAGCTAACAACTGTTGCCAATCTTTTTTTTTTTGTGTGTGTGTGCTTTTTCTTACCAAATCCCCCCCAGTACATAGTTGTATATTTTAGTTATGGGTCCTTCTAGTTGTGGTATGTGGGACGCCACCCCAGCATGGCCTGGCGAGTGGCGCCATGTCCGTGCCCAGGACTCAAACCAGCAAAACCCTGGGCCACTGAAGTGGAGTGCGTGAACTTAACCCCTTGGCCATGGGGCTGGCCCCTGCAAAGCTCTTTTACATAGCTTATTTTATTTAGTTCCAGGAACAACGCAGAGAGGTCAATAGGGTGGATAATATCCCTATTTTAGAGGTAAGGAAACTGAGGTTCAGGAAGGTGAGTCTCAGAACTCCCTGGCTACTGTTTCAGTCATTTCCCAGCCCTGTGAATTCCCATCTCTTTCCTCCCCCAGTTTATTCATGGAGATTCTTAATTCCTGCTCGGATTGTGATGAGATCCAGTTCATGGAAGATGGATCCTGGTGCCCAATGAAACCCAAGAAGGAGGCATCTGAGGTTTGCCCCCCGCCAGGGTATGGGCTGGATGGTGAGTGATCCCCTGTCCCCCAGCTGAGCTAAGACTTGGATGGCCTCTTCTCTGAGACACAGTCTTCTTACCACCCACAGGCCTCCAATACAGCCCAGTCCAAGAGGGCAATCCGTCAGAGAATAAGAAGAAGGTTGAAGTTATTGACTTGACGATAGAAAGCTCATCAGATGAGGAGGACCTGCCCCCAGCCAAGAAGCACTGTCCTGTCACCTCAGCTGCCATCCCAGCCTTACCTGGAAGCAAAGGGTATGAGGAAATAGGCTGAGTCTATAGCAGAAAGGATGGAGGAAGAAGTCAGAAATGCTTTCTGATCACTAGGCAAACCCTGGGGCAGAGAGGGTACTTAGGGGGCTGAGCTGAGTGAGGGCATCTGTGGTTTGCTGGCTGCCCCAGCTGCTTCTCTCCCTTCACAGAGTTCTCACGTCTGGTCACCAGCCATCTTCCGTGCTACGGAGCCCTGCTATGGGCACGTTGGGTGGCGATTTCCTGTCCAGTCTCCCACTACATGAGTACCCACCTGCCTTCCCACTAGGGGCCGATATCCAAGGTATGACACTGATCACAGGTGGGGCCAGTACTGCCACATCTTCCCCAAACCAGATCAGAACCCCTGCTCCTTTTCAAAGCTTTCTGGCTGTCTTGCAAAGGACCATAATCCAAGGAACTTCTTTGCTTTTTTGGTGGAGCAGGGGTGCAGGAGGTTGATTTTAATTTTTCTTTTCCTACCAGGTTTAGATTTATTTTCCTTCCTTCAGACTGAGAGTCAGGTAAGTGGTCCCTTCTCTTCCCATGAAGATCTCAGATCTCTGAAGCTTCCTTCATAGGCACTGATGGGCCCCCTCCCTCTCTCATTTTCCCTAGGACCTAAATCTGCTTCTCCATGAGGGAAGGGGGGTGCAGCCAGTTTATTTCTGTCATAGGCCCCACTGGTACTTCCTCGGACTCTCACCCATGTCTTCCTCAATCCCCCGTTGCTATTCTGTCTCCAGAGTTTTTAGTGTAGTTCTGCCCCTGCCTGCTCACCTCTCCATAACCATGTGCACTTGGGCACCATGCCTGCCCTAACTGGACATTCTACACATTTCAGACGCCCACAAAGCCAAGAACCTAGCAAGCTGGAAGGGCTGTCTCAAGGCAGGGAATAGGGGTGGCATGTGGGGAATTAGGGGGATGAGTCAGAAAGAGGCTCTCCTGCTTCTCAGAGAATACCTTGGGGTCCAGTGGGGTTGATTTAGCCCATATATTTCTGAGATAAGTGATTGGGAGGCGGGTAAAGTCAGGATAAAATCTTAAACTCTGCCCTTGATTCCTCCCAGCACTATGGTCCCTCCTCCGTCATCACCTCACTAGACGAACAGGATGCCCTTGGCCACTTCTTCCAGTACCGAGGGACCCCTTCCCACTTCCTGGGCCCACTAGCCCCCACATTGGGGAGCTCTCACCGCAGCACCACTCCAGCACCCCCTCCTGGCCGTGTCAGTAGCATTGTGGCCCCTGGGGGGCCCTTGAGGGATGGACATGGAGGACCCCTGCCCTCAGGTCCCTCTTTGACTGGCTGTCGGTCAGACATCATTTCCCTGGACTGAGTTCCCTGGATTATGGAACCCTCACTGCCTCCCAACACTCAGCAAGTATGCTGTGGAGTCTGGACCCTTGGCCACTCTGACCCCTCAGGGGGCTTTGGCCAAAGGCCAGAAAGACCTTCATGGACACTTGTTTTTGGCCTCATCTCTGCCTGACAAGGCCAGCACCCAAAGGGTTAATATTTAACCTCTTTTTAAGGACATTTGGGGTTCTTTAGATGGCACATTCCTTTGGGTATGTTAACTTAGACAGTGGGAGGTAAATGGGATGAGATGTGAGTTGGGGGAAGGGCTGAATCCTCACCCTTGACTGTCTAGAGCCTTGTGGGGAAGGGGCCCTTCTCTTGTCCCCCCAGAAGCTCTCTCTCCTCATTCCCCAAACCCATGGCTCTGTTCCTTCCCCACATCGTCTTTTCATGTCCATTCTATTCTCTTTGGCCAAACAGACACAGAAACTGAGGCAGACAGACACACGGACAGAGAACTCTATTTTGGGTTGCAGATTTTTTGTATATAAACAAGAAAAACCAAAATACTCCAAAGATGGCTTCCCCTGCCTCCTACTTCCCAGTATGACTGAGGGGGAGATAAGGCCTCAGCCCTGATTGCCAGGGTCTGGCATATTGCCTGGGTCTCTCTCTATTTATATATTTAAGTTCACAGTGTTTCTTATGCCGACCAGGCCCTGGGCTTCTAGGGCTTCCGTGGTTAGGTCTGGCTCATTCTGCACCTGTCCTGGGAGGTGGGAGGACCTTTGTGCTCTCCCCAATCTCCTTTTTCAGGCTTCTCCAGGGCCTAGGACCTATGTTGTAATTTTACTTTTTATTCCCAAAGTTGTAGCAAAGTTCTTACCCATAATAAAGGTTGTGAATGTTTTGTGAGTGTCACAGAGGTGGGCTGGGGAGGGGATTATGCACTTCACTTTCCAGATCCCTGGTTTGAGGGGAGAGGGTCCATGTTCCGTTCTTCCTTTGCTGGCCCTGGATCCACGTGAGCTCCACTTGCACATGGTAGGGCTGTCACACTGAGGATTTTCGAGAGCAGTTATTCTTTCTTCCTTCCCCTTCCCCATGCACATAAAAACACTAGAGCATTCAGCCCAAGGCTATGGAGCCCTCAAGTCCTCACCCTTACCTGCCCAGATGTTGGAGCCAGAGCCTGAGGGCAAACTTGGTCCCAGTGCTGACCCTCTCTTTGCTTTCTGCTGTGCTTGGGGTCGTCCGCAGCAGTGTGGACATGGGCAAGGCCAGAGGTCGAGCTCCTCCATCCTCTAGTTCCACTGCACTGCATAGTGACAACTCTTGTCTAGGCTGTGCCTTAGCCCACTTCCATATCCATTAGGTCATCTAATCCTCCCAGCCACCAGAGGAGCAGGGTGGGTGGGTGTTAACTTCATTTATTTATTTATTTTTTTTGGTGAGGAAGATTGTCCCTGAGGTAACACCTGTGCCAGGCCTCCTCCACTTTGTATGTGGGACACTGCTACAGCATGGCTTGACGAGCAGTGCTAGGTCCGCACCTGGGATCCAACCCCTGAACCCCAGGCCACTGAAGTGGAGCACATGAACTTAACCACTATGTCACTGTGCCAGCCCCTGTTAACTTGATTTTATAGAAAGGAAACAGGCTCAAGGAGGCTTAAATGACTTGTCCCTATGGGAGAGTGGGACTCAACCCCAGGTCTTCAGTTGTAGCCAGTTGGAGCAGGAACCCTTGGAGTTTGACAGACAGGGTCTTTGATCTCAAGTGCTCTCTTCATTATCAGTTGACCAGCTCACTCCCTGGATCTCTCCCACAACACAAAATCCTCCCCCGAGGAGGGATAGAAGCTGAGCTTTTCACTGTGTATGTGTTGGTGTGTTGGACGGTCAGGGAGAAACTCTTACTTACGGGACAGAGGGTGGTAGGTCCTGAGGGAGATGTCTGGGTGTCTCTGTCCCATCCTCTGTGGCAGCCACTGCAGCTGCTACATCTGGTCTCAGCCACATAAGGGCACTCACCTCACTTGGGTTTGGTTGGATCCGGGCCTGGGGCCAAACATGTTGATCCCTTAGTCACGGCCTCTCTCGGGAGGCCTGTTCTTGATCACAGCCCACCCTCAGGTAGAATGGAGAGAGACTTGGGGCAGGGGCAGGGGGAGAGGCTATTGGATGTCTTGGTTCTCTCTGACCTCCCCTCCCCCCCCCTTAGTCACAGTCAGAACCAGTCTGCCTTGGCCTCCTGAGCCCCGATTTCCCTGCTCTACTGCCAGCCCTACCTGCAGCTGCTGCTGTGACTCCTGGGAGATCACAAGTAGATAGAGAATGATGTGATGGTATTTCGGGAGACCCCAGCTCAGCCTAGGAGGGTAGGCAGTCTAAGAGAGAGGAAAACAGCAAAAGTGAGAACTTCCTGTCTCTTTTTGAGACTAAAAACAGCTGAAGTGGAGGGTAGAGATGGTGTGGGAGGGACAGGGTGAGGATTGTAGGTTCAGGGACTCCAGACCGCCCACACTCCATTGTTTCCCCTGGCAAGTAGGACTGTTCTATGGGCTCTGGTGGGTTAGAAGTTGTTGTTAGAAGTTCTTGGTTAAATAGGAAGGGACCTCTCCCAGGTCCCTGTCTCACCTCCCATAAACCCAGAGGAACCCAAGAGAACTGGCCCTGGGGCAGCTGTAGTCCACTTTCCTCCCAAAGCTCTCGAAGCCCTCCGTCCAACAGCTGGGAGAGAGAGAGGGCAAGTCAGAGAGGCCAATTCCTGACTCCTCCAACTACTTTGTTTGCCCCTCCCTCAGCCTACACCCAAAATGGTCCCAGACAGGTGTCTTGGTTCAGGACAGTGTGCCGGTTGGGTGAGCTGACTGGTTACCTCTTCATCAAGTTCCACATGTCCACCTGCAACAACAGTGGAACCAATAGGTGAATGGTGGTGTTCTTGGCCATGGACCCCACTCAATATTTATACTGCTCTTTCTCCAGTGGGCAAAAATGCAGTTGCAGCCCCTAGTGATTATGGGACATACCACATTTCTAGGCCTACTTCTCTGTCCTAAGACTGGGAATAGCATTGTTGAGTGAAGGACAAGTTTCTTCTCTGGACTTGGGGCCTTGTTCTCAGGGTGCTCACCTGGGGGTACCCAGAGGTTGGGAGAAATGCTGAGGGTGCGGGTCCTTCGGGTCAACAAGACAGTCTGGTCGCTGGACTGCAGAATGACGGCCACACCCAGATCCACACCCCGATTCGTGGGCAGCTCCGCCCCTGAAGCCCAGGGCTGCTGATCCAGGGCCGCAAAGGGGCAGAAAGGGGGTCGCTGGCGAGAGGAAGCCGTTTGGGGTAAGGCTTCACAAGCGGGGCGGGGTATTCAAAAGTTGTGCGATGTCGCGCGCGATGGGGGAGGAAGCCGGGTGGGCGATTGGCCAGGCCGTCAGGCCTCTCGCCGCCAGTTCCCACCGGATCCTAGTCCCCGCCTTCGGCCCTTCTGTACCCACGCCAGGTTCCCTCTTTTCCCGACCTGGAGCGGAAGTCTGAACGAGGCGCCTGGGAATGGCCTAGCCGAGAGGACGAGCCGTCCTTGTTTCAAGCTGCAGTGCATGGGCCACGGCCCAAGCCCTGACCTGGCGCCCAGGAGGCCACACACACTCTGCGCGAAGCTCACCGACTCCGGGCGCCCGGACAGGAGCAGCAACACTCGCGCGGCCGCCATAGCGCGGCTCTCGGGTAGCTGTGGCCCGCCTGGCGCCCTCTGGTGGCCCAGCGGCGCCTGCCCTTGGACTGTTCCGCGGGATTGGGATTGCCAGGCTTCCCAAACGTCCCCGGGAAATTTAGGTGTTAACACTTGGGGATGATCCGTGGGTGTAATGTTAATAAATGACAAAGGAGAATACCTCTAAATCCTGAGCTCCTCTCTTCTTCCCATCTCTTCTGTTTAGGGCAATGATCCCAGACTCGTCACTTCCCACGAGCCATGTGCTGAACTCTAAGCACCCGTCCATAGCTCTGCTATAACACCTATCCGTTTCAGGTATCACCTAGAATTAATCTGTCTCCTAGCCAGATACCCAGGAAACGTTTTTCACACCTCCTCTTTCTTTCTTCTTACTTAAATGGCAACCAAGTGCAGTTTACCTTCTTAAACTTCCTCAAATCCATGTCTTACTCTCCAGCCTCCATTGCCCTAGTTCAAGCTTTCCTCATATTCTGCCTGAAATATTATTGCAAATCGCCAAATAGTCCTGCCCTTACCAATTCATTCTCTACAGTGCTGCCAGAGTGACCTAAAACATAAATCTGATCATTTTGCTTCCCCTTGCTCTCAGCATAAGACGAGATACTTAGCACCGCATAGCAAAGACCCACCAGTGCTTGCTACTGTCTATCTCTCCAGCCTCAATTCTAGCAGGTCTTATGCCCTGTTTCCTAGTCATATCCTATCTGCAGTTCCCCCAAGAACCAGGCTCTGCTTCCCTCTGGGATCATTTTCCTCTTCCACCTGGCAAATCCTCATCCTTCAAAATACAGATTAAGTGTCACTTTCTCTGTGCTCCCTTTCCTGCCTGACCCTTTTCCATGCTAGCCCCCCAGTACATCCTTGTACTTAGTTGTCTCCTCCCACTAGGCTGTATGCTCAAGGCTTATTTGTATCCCAAAGGCCTGAAATGATGGTGAGTGGCTTGAAGGCAGAGATATCTTTTTATCTTTGTTTATTATATGTAGTACAGTGGCTGGCAATTAATTGGCACTCAAATGTTTAATGAATTAGAACTAATTGGTGAGAGCAAACTGAAGAGATTATAAAACTATCTGCTTTAAATGAACTGAAGCTACTGGGACAAATTACATCAACTAGATCAATCATCTATCTATGGTATTGAGAGAGGGAACTTAGGATTGCCACTGTAAGGAACCATGGGGAAGAGGAAGGCAATGATTTATTGAGTGCTTACCATATGCCAAGCATTGTGCTAAGTGTTTTACGTACATAATTTCAGCTGTGCTAGAAGTGTGGCCTTGGCAAATGTGGCTTCTATCCATAGATTCTAGTGTGACTGCTTGGGCCAATCCACCTGCTGGCCCTGAAAATAGCTTTTATCCTCTCTCTGTGGTAGTCTTTCACATTCTCTACATTGAGTGTGTGTGTGTGTGTGTAAGATTACAGCTTGACAAAATAAAGAACAGATGTATGTAGCCTTTTGAAAATGGAGTGAACTGCTCAGGAAGAAGTCTCTTCTGTTGCCAGGGATGTTCAAATACAGGCTTGGCTGTTCTTGATGGGAAGTGATGCATCTGATAGATGATTGATTTAAGGTTTTTTCACCTGTTAAGATTTGATGAGGGGAAAATATAGTGAAGGGTTTAAAACAGGATCAGCAAACTTTACAAAATGTCAAACTCTTTCTGCTGTATTCTGAGTGGTAGTGATAGGGAGAGGGTTTCAGTACAAAAATCTGCAACTTATTCCACTGCAAAGAATGCATCTATGCACCTCCTTTATTTTTCCTTCTAATCTACCCCCAGATCTTTTGAGGAAGACTCTTCTTCTGCATCATTGTCTCTTCATAGTGCTCTCAATGTATGACTCCAGTAGGAAGATGGTTTCATCCACCTGAATCTCACTGGCATCCAACCTGAGTGAAAAAGTGAAAGCATTTGCCCAACTGAACATTAATTAGCATATTTCAGATTATAGGCTGGGGCTGGGTGTGGCCATAGAGAATTGCTTGGTTACCCTTGAGAGTAATGGGTGGAAAGCAGGAGAACCAATACATCATTCTCTCATTACTGAGCATCTTGTAAGTGCCAGGCACTGTGGAAATTGCTGAGGATTCAAGAGATATAGTCTCTGTCCTGGGAGAAGTTACAGTCTAACTTGCAAGTAAGTGAAAGAATAGCGCATGTTAAAGGCACAGGTGTAAAAGGACCTATGGTGTTTTAAAGTAGGAGCTGAGAGTGGCAGAGGCTTAGTGTAATGGTTAGGAATAGAAGGGAACTTCCTCAAACTGATATAAGCCATCTATGACAAATGCACAGCTAACCTCATACTTAATAGTGAAAGACTGAAAGCTTTCTGCCTAAGATCAGGAAGAAGACAAGGATGTCTGCTTTTTACTTCCACTCAACCTTTTACTGGTGGTTCTAGCCAGGGCAACTAGGCAAGAAAAAGACCTGGCATCCAGATTGAAAAGGAAGAAGTGAAGCTATTTCTGTTCACAGATGACATGATTCTATATGTAGAAAAATCTCAAAGGATCCACAAAAAACCTCCTGGAGCTAATAAACGAATTTGCAAAGTTGCAGGATATAAAATCAAAACACAAAAACCAGTTTTATTTCTATAAACCAGCAATGAACAATCCAAAAATGAAATGAGGAAAACATTAAAATGGCATCAAAAAAGAATAAAATACTTAGGAATAAATTTAACAAAAGAAGTGCAAGACTTGAATATGGAAAATCACAAAACATCACTGAAAGAAATTAAAGAAGACCTATATAAATGGAAGGACCTCCTTTGTTCATGGGATGGAAGATTTAATACTGTTAAGATGGCAATACTCCCCAAATTCATCTACAGATTCAAAGGAATACCTATTAAGGTCAATGGTGAAGAGTGAAAGAAATGAAGACGGAAAGATAGGCTGCTATGGAGATTGTGAAAGGCCCTATAAGTCACACCAAGGAGTCTGGTTTTTTTTTTACTGTAAATAAAAGGGGTCATTAAAGCATTTAAAATAGGAGAGTGAAATTATTAATCATTTTATAGAGACTAACTTTGAGAGCATTATAAGAGATGGTTTGAAAGGGGTGGTGATTGCAAAGGTCTAGGAAAGAGGTGATGGAGGCCTGCATGAGGACCAAGATGAATGGGCCACACTTGAGACACTTACTGAAGTAAAATCAACAGCCTTAGTGAACAAGAGTGTGTGTGTGGTGAGGGAAGAGAAGCTGAGGATGTCTTCAGAGTTCTTAGTTTAGGAAAATAGCTGGATTACATTCTGTTAATTGACCTGGGGAAGAAGATAATGAGTTTAGGTTTGTTCTTGTTAAGTTGGAGGGGCAGCAGGAAGTCGAGGCAGATTTGTCTGGAAGGTATTTTGAAACACGGGTTTGAAGTTTCTGATGCTTACTTGTTGACATTACGTTTCAGGGTCTCTAGTTGCTGGCGTTCAGGGGCTGTGATCATCTCCTCTATTTCTTGTAGCTGTGCCTCCTCTGCACCCGTAGCCTGCATGGATGCAATGATGGCTTCTACCCTCTGAGACTTTTCTAGTAGGCGTCTGTTAGACAAACACAACTCTAAGGCATGTCCTCTAGCCTTGGAGATTCTTTTACCCTTTAGTCCTGGGGCATAACCCACCCCCCCTTCACCATTGTCCTGGTCAAGGTGGATAATGTCACCCCCTAAGGACATTTTCTACAAACTTAAATTAGAAATGTGACTTCACTTCTGAAACTTATTGCCTCTCATTTACACTTAAAGTTTGGTGCCAGTTTGTAGATTTCTCATAAATTTAATCTACAAAATTATTTCACTCGGGGTATATTAGAAAAGTATAGATTAATGCATGATTTATGCCAACCTAAGCCAATAATTCAATGCAACTAGACTGGTTATTGTCTCCATTGGTTTTCATTTCCATAGGAAATTTCCTCTCAAGCCTTTGACCTTGAAAAATATAATTACTCAACTAAAAATGCTACTCACTTATTCTCTTTGGTTTCGAATTGCCTCCTTTCTATCAAGTTGGCTATGCTCTGAGAGGAGAGAAGAAAGACAAGAAATGCACATAGTTCTATTAAGTAGCTCAGGGAAAATGGCTAAATGGGGCAAGAGGGTGAGACTTGTTTGTGTGGAGGGAATGGGGAGAAGGTCCAGGAGTTACCTTGTAGCACCTGTGCAGCAACATTCGGGCAGCTGACAGGATGTTCACAGTATATAAATAGAAGGTCCTGGATGGAGCATGGTCTGGCGTTTTGGGAATTTCCTATTTGTCCACAGAAAGAAAAGTAAGAGAAATTATACTGTTCTTTAGAACTGGCAAAGTAAACAGGTGTTCCATCCAGAGCTACTCAGCCCTCTCTTTCACTTATACATCTGTGTTTATGGCATAATCAGCCACAGGGAGAGCTGGGCTGCCCTGTTTTTTCCATTTGACTTTCAGCATCCTGAGTGAGGAAGAAAGAGTAGGCAACTAACATTTACTGAGCAACTCTTAAGAGCCAGGTAGATTGTATTTGATCTTTACAACAAACCATATTATCTTTATTACTACCAGCCATCATCACTTTATAGATATAAAAATGACGGTGGGTAATTTGCTCAATGTAACTGGGTAAGAGGCAGAGTTGTGCTTCTGACTCCAAAATACATTCTATTTTTTCATAGGGTATACTATGTGGCTCTGCACCTAGCAAGGACCCATTAGATGCTGTTGATACATTTAATCTATCATAAATTTAAGGCTCAAGGAAAGGACAAATCACAGGGACTAGGAACTAAAGAAAAAAGGGTAGGGTGATTCTGGGGTGACTTCTTGGCTGTGCCCCCTTCTTTACTAGGCTAGTTAAAGCTCTATGATTATCCGTCAACTGCTAGGTCTTTGTTAATCTCTTTCTTTGTCTCAGAGATGGATACAGAGTTTGCTTGGGGTTCAGGATGTTTGTCTCAGGAGTTTCTAGCTTGACTGGCGATTATTACAGCATTGGTTACCTGGAGTGATATGAAATTTTCTGAGAGCATCTTATAAAGCATATCCTTTGCCTCCTTTGCTGGAATCATTGCAAAGTCTTCTACCTGCTTCTGCTCCAGGTGTTTCTTTTGCAAAACTAAACGGAATATTCTGGCACAGCGAGACCCAAATCTGGAAAGGAATGAAGAAAGCAAATGACATGCCAACATAGATTAGCTTTAGCTCTTGATCACAGATGGTGGTTGCTCCATTTCCAGGTGTGGAGCCAGGGCCAGAGAGGAATAGGGATCAGAGAATTCTTTCACAATTCCACAGACTGATGATGGTACTGCTAATCATAAGGTAGTCTCCAACTGCTGACGCACTTGATTGCTTCAGTTCCTGCATTTGTATGTAAAAACTTTAGGAAAGCAGGTTAATTACATAATTGGGAATTAAGCAGTAGTGTATTAAGGGTGAAGAGTAGTAGTAGATGGGATCCATAGCAGTCTAGTGGAAAAATGGGGCAAGATATGCCAAGATGTGCCTATACTGGTTGCTTATATAATGATCAAAGTACTTGTTCAAATGGGGCATGGAAAGGAAGTGTCTGACTCCAACCCCACTCAGGGTGACCCCCTTACCTCTCCTGTACGACAGACTCCAGAGTGGCTGTGGCTAGGGATCCTAGAGCCTTATGCAGGTCTTTATGTAGAGGATTAAGGTCACTCAGTAATGTTTTGGCCTGGTCATTGTGATCTTAGTTTTTTTTTTTAATGATTTGGTGAGGAAGATTGGCCCTGAACTAACATCTGTTGCCAATCTTTCTCTTTTTTTTCTCCCTAAAGCCCCAGTACATGGTTGTATATCCTAGTTGTAAGTCATTCTAGTTCCTCTACATGGAATGCTGCCACAGCATGGCTTGGTGAGTGGTGTGTATGTCCGCGCCCAGGATCCGAACTGGTGAGCCCTGGGCCACTGAAGTGGAGCGCGTGAACTTAACCACTTGGCCATGGGGCTGGCCCCTGTGATCTTAGTTTTATTCCTAAGTCTCTAATTTAAAATTTAAATACTATTTTGTTTTTCACATTGGCCTCATTTATGGTAAGTATTTCAAAATCTTAACTAACTAGGGTATTTAAGTCAAGATTTTGCTTAACTAAAATTTGATTAATTAAAAGTTTTTTTTCCTTCTTTATAATCAATGTATTGGTTCAATTTTCTAACTTATTTAGTACACTAAATGTTATAAAATCTTTTCTTTTATAAGTCACTATTCTGTTTCATAATTAAGGCCGCCTAACTGTAAGGAAATAACTGGTAAGGATACTGATGACATACATTCCTCCACCACTGTCGCCAGACTTTCCAACAAACTCAAGCTATTAAAAAAGAGAGAGAGAGAGTGTTAACTGAATGGAAAGTTCAGTGATTCTGTTTCCAAAGGAGCAAATCTGGCCAAGAGTCTGCAGCAGGTAGCCCTCCTATCAGATGATGGTAGAGAAATTGTCTGAGCTGGCTACGTAGAGAATGAGGCTACAGGAGAATGTTACCAGGTATCAGTGGCAGAAAGAAATAATAACCACAGCAGAAAAAAGGAAAAGAAAAAAAAGCAAAAACAGACTTACTGGATCATCTGCCAGCAGAGTGAGATACTGATCAAGAACCTGCTTAGAGATGTTATAGCCAACAGGCAAGGATCTGAAGATCTATGGAGCAAAAAGAGACAGTGAAAATGGGTTTGGGATCTTAGAATTGCTGACATTACTGAAATAAATATGTTTTAATTTTAGATATCACAGGTATAAAAATGTCCAAAAATATAGCAGCATCGTGGGGGCCGGCCCGGTGGTGCAGCAGTTAAGTTCGCACGTTCCGCTTCTTGGTGGCCCAGGGTTCGCCGGTTCGGATCCTGGGTGTGGACATGGCACGGCTTGTCAAGCCATGCTGTGGTAGGCATCCCACATATAAACTAGAGGAAGATGGGCATGGATGTTAGCTCAGGGCCAGTCTTCCTCAGCAAAAAGAGGAGGATTGGCAGCAGATGTGAGCTCAGGGCTAATCTTCCTCAAAAAGAAAAAAAAAAGGGGCCAAATAATGTCCTGAGCACCAAGGCTGTCAGATTCCAAATAGTGGATTCTTAGAACAATTAGGAAAATAGCTTATACTCTAAGGGATTGGTTTAGGTTTTTAAAGGCTGGATCCTAAGAGACCACATATTTCAGTACCTACCACCTACAGATAATCCGCATCCCACCTCAAACAACAAAAACTGTTTCAAGGCTCAGACCTCAACCTAATCTCAGGCTCTATGTATAATAATTAGGTTCTTTTTTGTTTTTTTTTGAGGAAGCTCAGCCCTGAGCTAACACCTGCCAATCCTCCTGTTTTTGCTGAGGAAGACTGGCCCTGAGCTAACATCCATGCCCATCTTCCTCTACTTTATATGTGGGACGCGTGCCACAGCATGGCCTGATGAGCAGTGCCATGTCCGCACCCAGGATCCGAACCGGTGGACCCCAGACCACCAAAGCAGAACGTGCACATTTAACTGCTGCGCCACTGGGCCGGTCCCAAAATAGGTTCTAATATCCAAGAGTCTTGTCAGAAAACTAGTACAAAAACTTGAAACTCACCTCATTGGAAGACAATGGCTGGGTGAAGGGGGCATTGGAGGGAGTGGTAATCTCACTCATCCGGAGCATGGTCCGCACAATCTCGCTGCTGGTCTGGGTTTGAAAAGTGAACTGGAATTCAGAATTCACTCTTGCTGCGCTGGCTCTGGCTATACGCCAATGGCCACATCTGGCAAATAAGTGAATGTTCCTATGGCCACTGTCCCACCCACTTAGATATTACCTGGTCCATCCTATTGGCAACTGCACTGACAATGCCTTGGTCACGGAAGTGCTGGTGGAATCTGTCAAGGTTGGCCTGCCAATAAATCCCATCATCTGGAATGGGCTGAGGAGGAGAAAAGGATTAGACAGAAACATTTAGACACAGTATTGTTTTCTGGTGAGGAGCTTGTATTTCACTGTTCACCATTTTTTTTCCTATACAGTAGCAGCTAAATTGGTTGGAGAAAAATCATTCAGTCACGTGGATCAGTGCCCTGACAAGGACAAATTCACAATCCCCAGCTTCAAACTCTAAGCTTACCTCTGATCTTTCTCTCTGATTTTTAACTCCGCCAGTATCCTCAAATCTCCCACTTACCCAGCCCTTCTCACTCTCAGCCAATGACCTTGCCTCTTATTTCAGAGAGAAAATAGGAGCCATTATGCCAGAACTCATTCAACTTTGTGCACACATCCCCACCACATTTCTTACTTATTTTAAAATTTGTATTTTTATCCAATTTTATCACAATGGAAAATGTTCCTCCTTTTACCTAGGGTTAATGCCCATCCTGGTGTGCTCGATCTCACCCTCTCCTGCATTCTCAGGGACCCAGCTCAATCAATTTTCACTCCACTTCTAAATCTTCAGTCTCTCTTTCTTTACTACCTTCTTCCCATCAGCCTTTACTTTGTCCAAATCTCTTCTACTCTAAAAGAATTCTCCTTCAACCCTATGCCTTCACTCCTTTTCCTTTCTGTCATAGCTGAGCTTCTCAGAGTTGGCGATCCCAGCTGTTCCTCCATCCACAGATTTACTCAGTCCATTTCCACCATTATACTGAAATGCCAAGGTCCCTGGGGATCTCCTTATTGCTAAGTTCAAAGAATATTTTCCAGTTCTGATCTTATTTGATCTTTCTGAAGCGTATGACATGGTTGGACATTTTCTCCTTCTTAACTCAATGTGGCCCTTTGGATTTTATGACACCATTCTTTCTTGCTGTTCCTTCTAACCATTCTGCCTACCCTTCCTCAGTCTCCACAGATTCCTTTTCCAGATCCCACCTATAAAAACTGGTGTTCCTTAGGGTTCTGTCCATAGCCTCTTTTCTTTTTATTCTACATATTCTACCTAGGTGATTTTATCTGCTCTCAAGGCTTTAACTATTGATTCACTTCCAAATCTATTACTTAATTCCAGAACTCTCTATTAAGCTCCAGATGCATAGACTCAACTACCTATTTGACACTTCCACCTGTTCCCCCAAATTGTTCTTTTTAAAGGTTTTCAGCTAACTACACTATAACCAACCAGATTTCTTAAGCTAGAAACTTGAGTATGATCCCTAACCGCTTGCTCTCCCTCATCTACCATCCAAATACCAAGTTCTATCTATTCTTTTTGTATTTATCAGATGTCTACTTTTTTTATCCTGTCATTATCTTATTTCAGGCTCTAATCATGGCTCACCTGGATTACTAAAATAGCCTTCTAACTGGTTTTCATTTTTCTTTTTAATAAAGTGGGTGCTATAAAAAGGGTAACTGGGTTTTCTGCTTTTAATCTTGTTCCTTTTGTATTGCTCTCCCCATTTCTCATAGAGCAGTGCTTCTTTATCTTTTTGGGTCACAAGTTCTCTTGAAGAATCTGAAGAAAGCTATAGAGTGCTCTAAAGAAAAATGCACATCGCACAATTAGAGGTGGACCCTCTGAAATCTATCCATGGAATTGTACAAGTTATGAAGCATTGTACTATAGTAATCTTTCTAAAATGGAAATCTGAGCCACTTCATTCCCCTGCCTAAAATTCCATCAATGACTCCCCCTTGCCTTCAGGATAAAGTCCTAACCTCTTAGTCAATCAAGAAATACTTATTGATGTCTTGCTATATTTCAGGTACAAGATACTGCCCTCAAGGAGTTTATACTCTACTGAGAGTACAAAGACAAACAAGTATACAAATAAATAATTTCAGCTACTTATAAATGCTCTGAAGATGAAATGGGAAAATGTAGAGACTGGAGCAGAGGGTGGGCAATGGTGAGTGAGCTCTAAGAAAATAGCATTTGAGCTGAGATCTCAGTGATCAAAACAAGGCAACTACATGAACATCTGAGGGGAAAGCATTTGAAGCAGAAGGAATTGTTCACTAAGGACAGAAGCCTGAAGACTGGAAAGAATAGGACATGTTTGAGGCACAAAAAGAAAGATAAAAGCTGGAACATAGTGAACAAAAGGGAGAGTGGAAAGAGCTGAGGTTGGAGAGCCTTGTCTCCAGCAGATCACGTTAAAATCAGCTCATGTAAGGCTTAATAATCCATAGTAAGGGTTTGGGTTTCTTCTAAGAGTAATGGGAAGTTATTAAAGGAGTCTAAATCAGTGATGTGTTGGGATTTTTTGAAAAAACAACTGAGAAAGTAATTTTGGCTCTTAAGAAGATAAGAATGCAGTTAGACCATTTAGGAGAGTGGTGGCAAAGTGTTGACTAGACATGACAGTGGTTCAGACTAGGGTGATAGTGGAAGAGGTGAGAAATAGTGGGATTTGAGGTCATTTTGGAAATTGGGCTGACAGGTTTTACTGTGAGATTGGATGGTTCCTAGGATTTTTTTTTTTTTGAGGAAGACTAGCCCTGAGCTAACTACTGCCAGTCCTCCTCTTTTTGCTGAGGAAGCCTGGCCCTGAGCTAGCATCCGTGCCCATCTTCCTCTACTTTATATGCGGGACGCCCACCACAGCAGGGCTTGCCAAGTGGTGCCATGTCCGCACCTGGGATCTGAACCAGCGAAACCCGGGCCGCTGAGAAGCGGAATGGGCGAACATAACTGCTGCGCCACCGGGCCAGCCCCAGGATTTTGGCCTAAGCAAATGGTGGTGTCCTATGTGGCTGGCCTGGGTGGTGTCCTTCAGTCAGATGAGAAAAGCTTAGCAGGGAGTAGATATTTGAGAGGTGGAAATTATTCTGTTTTGGCCATACTAATTTTGAGGTGCTTATTAATATCTTCACAGAGATGCTGAGAAGGCATTTGAATATAAGAGCTCAGGCCTGTATATATTTTTCTAGACTCATTTGTCACCACTGGCCACCATGGGTCTCTATGGTGGTCTCAGCCATACTGAATGACTTAAACTTTTTCTAGGCCCTTTTTTTGTATAAGATGTTACCTCTGTCCAATGACTGCAGTAAGTTAAGCCTAGGAAGGGGGACAGCAATTCACTCTTTGTTAGTCTATTCCTGGCCAATATTTAATGAAGCTCATAATCCTACTACTTTTCAATCCAGGAACCTTTAAGCTCTCTCAGGGCTTGTGATCTTAATCCTCTTTCTGGCTTTCATCAGGGTGACTCCTAATCAAGAAGCCCGATTACCTCTTTGTTATCTGCTGTATGTTTTGGTCTCTTGGCCTTGGGCTCTCCGGTAGCATCTTCGTCAGATGATCTCCTCCTTTTACCTTTCCCTGCCAAATAAAACAGCTGAACAGTTAGGCTACACCTCACATGATGACAGGAAATCACTGAATATAAGAGCTGAATAGTCTCTCCTATGAGACTGAATAGTCTCTCCATCCCAAAGACATCCATAGCTGCCTCTAGGTTAGAGTTGCTGAGGAGACTGAAGAGCTACAAAGAAATTAATGATGAAGTCATCTGAAAATCAACACGTTCAAAAAGAAAGTCAGTCTTTCTCCCTTAAACTGCTCATGCTCCAATGCTTCCTTTCACAGTGAATGGCACCATCATCCTCCCACATATGCAAGTCAGTCACGCAGATGTCATTCCTGATACCTCCGTCTCTCTCGCCCCTTCTATAGCTAATTTTTCACTGGTTTGTCTACATTTACCTTTGCCCCATCCTTTCTTCAGAAAGAAAAATCTTTTAAAAATGCAAATTAGATCATGTTACTTCCTTTAAAATCCTTTAGTGGTTTTCCTTTGCCTTGAGGATAAAGAACAGATGCTCTACAAGGCCTTATTTGATCTCGCCCCAGCCTGTCTCCCTAACCTTACCTCATGGCTCGCTTTCCTTTGCTCACCGTGCTTTAACTATACTGACCTTCTTTTACTTCCTCAAATATCCTATTTTTTTTTCTCACTACATACTATTTCCTTTGCTAAAAAATGCTTATCCTCTGTACCTCTTCATACTTTACCTCACTGGTTGGTTCCTACTTCTGCTTTAAATCTTAGCTCAAATGCCACACTTTCAAAGAAGCATGTACCTGAAACCCCCAGATAAATCTGGTCGCGTTATATATGTTCATAATACCTCATAGTTTTCCTTCATAGTACGTATCACAGTTTTTAGTTATATATCTATGTGGTTATTTGATTAATGTAAGTCTCCTATACTGGACTTAAGTCCCACAAGGGCAGAGACTGAGGTTTTTTTTAATCATTTTACACCACAGTATCTGGCACAGAGTAAATCCTTGCTAACAGCTCAATTGATTGACTCATTCAACAGTCACTGAGGAAGAATCGACAATTAGGTCAAGTCACAGTCCAGGGCTCAAAATTCCTTACCTATCAAGCTCAGTTTAGGAACCAGGTACATGTCCTTTTCATTGATGACAAGAGTGGGGGCAGGTGGCGGTGGCCCAGGGTCTGAATTCTCAGTGGCAGGCACGAAGGGGCAGCGCTGCACGAAGTGTGTGTCTGCTAGTCGCACAAATGTGTTTGACACCTCAGCATAGTCCATGGTCTTGCCATCTGTACAACAGGAGGAAAGAGGCAGGTAAGATGGCCTAAGATCACTGAGGGTCCACTCCTGCAGCCAGCCAATCTATGCTTTTGCTAACAGCAGTGGATACAGTACTGACCCTCCATAGTCTCTGTGAGCCGGTCTGCCACTTTCTTCACAACAGCTGACATTGTCATTTTGCCATTCAACAGTAGCTCCTCAACAATCAGCTCCCCAGTGTCACTGTACAGTGTCTTGGCAGTATAGATGTACCGGGGATACCGAAGCATACGCAACACCCGGCTGCACTGGGCTTCATACTCCACCACACCACGTTTGTGCACTTGATATATCACCAGGTTATGTTGGATGAGGACACAAAGGGCTTTTTTTACCTAGATAGGACCCAAAAGAAAGAGAGGAAAGATCTGAAGCCACTGCTCATTATTGCTGGCAATTTTTGTCCAACAGTTTACTAAGCATCAGGAGATGGCTAGATACGAATCTCTGTGCTGCTTCTCTCCCTCCATTGGAATAGCTAATAAGAATCACATCTCAATGGAAGAAATCAGGAAGATTCCTTGCTATGATGCTCATATTTCCTCTGATCTTTATCTTCCAAAGTACAGTTTACTTCCCCTCTATTATTCTCATTCCTTAAAAGTAGTACTGAGATTAATAGACTCAATACAAATAAATGAGGTATGGCATAGGAAGAGCAAAGATTTGTCTAAGAAGCCATGATGAACCTAGAATGCTCTGAGAAGCAGAACCTTGGGGCCTACGTCTCATCCTCTTTCCCCCCAAATAACACTGTTCTGGTCCTAAGGGCAGGCTTTCTCCCTTTTCCATTTTGTGGGGTGGGAAGTAACAATATTCAAAGGTAGGTAAAAGAAATTAATGAAATGAAAGCAAATTAACGTCATCCAAACATACCTGATCCAGTGATGTTCCTGTGTCATGGGCAATTACTCTTAGTGGCTGGCTGCCAGTTCTGATTAGGTGGACTCCAATTTTTTCTACAATCTCTCCAAAATGCTCTTGCAGCAACAAAGAACACAGTTTAATTTCTGCTTGAGTCATTGTACTGAGCAGTCTCAGAGCTAAGAGAAAAAAAAGATCGTATGATAGAAAGTTTCTTTTTATGTTGGGAGCACAGCTGGTGAGTGTTAATTCATGTACTTTCTGGAGGGCAAATTGGCATTACATATCGAAAGCCTTAAAATCTTGCATACCTTCGACCTAATAATTTCATTTTGAATACTGTGTTCCAAGGAAATAATAAAAATATGTCACTGTAGTTCTCTTTAGAATACTGATATACTAGAAACAACCTAATTTCTAGCAATAAGGAATTAATTCAGTAAATTATGGTATACCCATACGATGGAATACTATGCCATTTAAAATGAAATATATATATTACCATAGAAAATTGTTCATTAAGTGAAAGATGCGGGTTATAACGGAAAATGTTGAGGAAAATTCAATTATTGTGAAAAAAAAAGAAAAACATGTATGTATAGAAAAAAGACTATACACCAAATTTATCTTTACGGAGTTATGTCTAATTTTTTTAAAGATTGGGTGGAGATGGTTTAGCGATCTGTCACAGATTTTAGATTCTACACTTCATTGTTTGGAAGAACTAAGGCCACTGTTCACAGCCCACTGGGAGTGAACAGGCCGTGTCATTCCCAGTCCATAAAGGAAATGACAATTTAGGAAAAGAAATTAAGAGGTACAGGAGAGCTTCTCAACAGGGTGTTTCAAATAGGAGATGAAGTATGTTGTTTGCAGGGCAGTATTTAATTTTGACATTTCTACTCGACAAAGTAGACACAAACAGATCTAGTTGACTATATAATTACTTCCTTATCATCCCAAGTGCTACCAAACATTGGTTTGTTCATTTGTTTCTCTGAATTCCTCAGAAGCCAAGTCTTTGTCTCTCAGCCTCAGCATCCCCATCCACATGTCTTTGGGGAAGCATCCCCAGACCCTTTGCCATCATCGAAAAGGATTTCCAAGGATCTTGGCTCCTGGCTCTTCACTCCCTTCACGCAGGTTCCGGTTCCGGACTTGGTCCCTTGATCCAGAGACAGGGCCGCCTCGTTCAGACACCAGTTTCTACTAACCTCCGGGTCAATGCAGTGTAACGCCGCCGAGTCCCCAAGGCCGGCGGCTTCGCGGGGCTCCTGCTAGCCGCCCAGGCAGAGGGGGAGCCCACGGCCCTTTCTCGCGGGAGGATGGACACCGAGGATCACCGAGAAAACGGAAAAATGTGTACCGCTCTACCCTTAGAGTTTCGGTGGTTTCCGGGGGCGCTCTTTCTTTCTTCTCGCTGGAAGGTTGGAGGACCGGCGAGGGGCTGTTTGAGGAGCCGGAGGGCGGACTCTCTTGCCTGCGCCTCTTTGGTGCTGGGAGGCGGGCCTTAGGGTCGCAGTCGGCGCCGCAGCCTTTCTGGGCCCGGCGGACTCACGTGACCGACGCGGGCTCCGGAGCGGCCGGCCCCACTGAGGAAGCGGCGGCGGCGGCGGCGGCGGCGGCAGAGGCGGCAGAGGCGGCGACCGCAGCCGGGAGGTAGCGGCCTGGCGAGGGACGGGCCGCTGCCCTCTCGGCCAGCTGCGGCGGAAGAGAAAAATGGCGGAGGCTTCGGCGGCCGGGGCGGGCGCAGGCGCCGCTGTCGCCGCGCACCGGTTTTTCTGCCACTTTTGCAAGGGCGAGGTCAGCCCCAAACTGCCGGTAAGAGCCCCGTGTCATCTGCGCCGGGGCATCGGCGTGGATTCCTCGCCCCGGTGTCCTGGAATGGGTCCTCAGCTTCCCGCACAGCCTTGATTCCCCTGACATCGGTCTCCCACATACCTGCTACTCTTGGTCTCCGGTCGCTGGCCCCAAAGCCCGGGCGTCCCGGCCCTGGCTCCGTAACTTCCGTCCAGCCTGTTTTCCCCCTCGGTTGCTCCATCTGCCCCTCGCTCCCTCTCCCCTCATTACCTGCCCCCCTCCATCTGTTTGTTTTCCTTAGCAAGTTCTCCTCCGATGACTCTCCCCTCGATTTTCTTACACTCTTCTTCACCCTGTCTCCTCACTATGACCTCTCTTTCCCCTACTCGATACTCTTTCCGCTGTTGCTTCTCTATTTGCTTTTCCACTTTTCACTAGATCCTCCCCCTCCCCCATCCTCAGTGAAGCAAAATAGCGGATTGCTGAGAATTGTCGCTGTTCGGTTGTCTGTAGGGAAGGAAGGAAGAAAGCACGAAAGAGAGAGGGTTGGAAGGTAAACTGGGGCAGAGAGGGGATTTTGCTCTTCACTGGTTTCCAGGGTTCTTGTGAAAGTGAAAACGGCAGTGTATAATGACTTGCAGGCTGCCTGCCTCCCTATCACTATTGAAGGAAATGGCTTTAGGAAGAAGGCGGGACATATTGTTTCAACTTGGTTATTTTTGTTGTCATGCTGCCAGCGTCTTTAGCACCACCTCCCTTCCCCGCCGCCCTCCCCCATTTTGTCTCATCGCTTAATAAAAAGATCCAGGACACAATGCTGGGGACTGCATCCTCTGACATAAAATGGTTTTCACCAGTTTCTGCCAGATTGTCTGGTAGCCCCTAGACAGGTAGTCCTGTAGTTGTGAAGAAAGCACTTCTGCAGCGTGCTAGCCAGCTACAGCACCCCAAACCCAGACGCTGTTTTGTGTTGGGTTATAACTGCTGCAGGGAGACCCACTGGGGTGAACGGTAATCCTACTTTTGGCCACCCATCTTTAAAATTAGTTATGGTTGTTCTTTTCCTTGGAAGTAATCAGGTTCAATCTTGCCAAGGTAGCTTCATAATAACTTAGCTCTATACTTAGACTGTCTCAGGTAAACTATGAGAGAGAGAGCCTACTAAAGTGTGTGTCTATATCTTATTTCTTAGACACACAAATGGAGTTGTGTGAATAAGTGCCTAATGGATATTTTGAGCCTTTTCACCTCAAAGTTGTCCTTTTTACAGGCTTTTATAACATTTTCTTTTCTTTCTATTTGCCCTACCTCCAATTTTGTACTCATAGTTTCATCCACAGGGCGCTTAGTTTTTGCTTGCTAATTTGGCTGTGTTTGTGTGCTTTTTGCCATATTTCAGTGCTGGGAAGAGCAGGTGCCTTGTTTTTTTTTTTTTTTTTCCAGTGGACATCGGAGCCTCCAGAACTCACTCTCCCCACAGAGAGGGAGTCTGGAATTCAGCCAGTATGTGTGTGACCTGTGACAAGTTGTTGAATGCGATGCCTTGTTGAACATTGTGTGCTCTTCTGATTAAGTCGCTGTTCCCTCCTTGCCTTAAAGAGTGAGAAAACAGTCTAACTTTCCACAACTTATAACTTTTCTTTTTACCGCTTAAGTCCTCACTTCAAAGTGCTCTTGAAAAGGGATAATTTGAAAGACTTTTTGGGTGTTTTTCTAAGCCTTGGTTTGATAGCTGGAGAAGAAGTTATTGATCTTTTTAGGCTGATTTGTTGTCCATAATGCCTGATTTGTAAATTGAGGCCTAACACAATTAAATGTAATTGAGTACTTATACATACATGCAAGGCTCTCCTCTGGATGCTCTGGCAGCAATTCTGAGGAATATGTGGTTCCTGCCCTTAAGGACCTCACAGTTTTGTTGGAAAGACAAGACAAACATGGAAAAAGTAACAGTGTAAGGTGAATGAGGCTGGATAATATGTGCTTTTGAATTCAGAGAGGGGGGATATGGTAACATTGATGAGGTCAGGGAGAGAGTGAGAGATGAATTGAGTTCTGCAACATAGGTGGAATTCAGATTGAGGAGGATAGCATAGACTCAGGTAGAAAAGGAAGACTGAGTTGAGGAAGAAGGGAGAAATATTTAGTAAATTGTCATTGTTATGCATTTTTAGGAAAAGGTACAGTGTGGTCACGGGTTTAGTTTTGATTTGTAGGTGAGCCAGTGAGTTTCATGGCCATTCTATATCCTTAACCCCAGACTGTTATCTTGAAAATGTTGGTAGTAAGAATGACGAGCTGAGTAAGTGGCTGGTTCAATGCCAATCTGTCTCTGCTACTGGAAAACCAAGTCAAACGCTGCTAAGTCAGTAGTATGATTTTCATATATATATAGGACAAGATTGAAAAGTTTTTAAAAAATTTTTTATATAAATTTGAGATTCCTTCACTATAATTACTCAGCATATATTAGGCATGCATTGTTTCTTCAACTGGACGAACGTTATGGGAAACCTGGATGTGTTTCTGAGGATAGCTAGAGTCAGCTTATTGTGAATGAAGTTTTTCTTTGTTTTGACTTAATGGATCATAAGAACCATCACCCTTGAGTGCTGTCCTCTGTGAACACCTGAGGCTGCGTATTGAGTTTTACGTCAGCTTTTAATGAGCTGTTGTTGGGTAGGTTCCTTCACCCAAATAGTGGGAAGGACTGCTTCAGAGCCATGTCATCGCTTGCCAGTTTATTCACCACATAGCAGAGTTATGATTGTGTTCAGGGGGACCAGGTTGCAAGGTTTTCACAACTCTTGCTTTGTGTCCTTCCCCAGTCTCTAGGATATAGCACTTCTTGATACATTTGGAAGTGTGTGCAGGCAATAGCAATAGTTTACCCAATATTCAGCCCTGAAACTACTCTTAGGTTTTATCATTTGTCTTGTCAGTCCTGCTAGTCTGAAAGATTCACAGACCCAGTTAACTTCAGTGTCTGTATCAGAAGAAATAGTTTTGGCTATAATTTCTGAGAGAAATTGAAATATGTGTAATGCTATATAGGTTAAGCCACATTTCGTTGAATTAATTCGGTGAAATAACACTCCTTATTGCTAATCCTCATCTATTCATCCTAGCTTTGTGTGTCTTTGGTTTGGATCCCCCCAGATAAGAGAACAAAAGTTTCATTTAGAAAGTAGATATTAAGAAAATGAGGGGAAGCCATAGGGGAATTTTAAAATTAAAATATATTATTCAGTGGTGCTGTTACCTGTTAGGCTTCAAAAAAGAGTCTGTATTCTAGAAGTGGATATCGATTTATAAATTACTTTCTCTTATTGAGAGTGTTTTTCTATTTACAATGAAATTAATTTTAGTAAAATTTAGTGACTACTAAACTTGGGCTTTAAAATAAGAGATTTTGATTATATGGTCTGAAATCCCAGAGATTCAAGTTTATGTATGATTAGGTAAAATGGCATAGTATATTTTTTGGTCATGAGATGATAGAAGAAATACTTAAGTAACTTAAAGTTATTTTCATAGCAGCAGAAGCTTTTACGTCACCTGACTATCCTATTGAGAGACAACGTGAAGTCAAGACTGATGGAGTTAACTGTGCTACATTGAGGAATGACTGGGTAGTACCACAGAGGGCTGTGTTATGGAGTGTAAAGGTGTCATTCTGTGTCTTTTAAATCAAGGCCAGGGTATATTACTTTATGAGGTGGAGTCTGGTAGAGTCATCATTAAGCAGGTGAGATAAATCATATGCAGCGTAAACTACTTTTGGTATCACTGAGACTCGGATGGTTCTTAAGTGTTTTATGGAGATCAGAGTACTCAAATCCAGACAAGAGACCTGTCTAATTAAGGACTACCAGTGTGTTGCTCCCCTCTGAGGCTCTGCTTGAAGGAACTAGCGGACTTCTCTTTCTCTCTCATCTCCTTATTTTATCACCTTCTTTGATCTAATAAAATGTCATCCTTATCAATAAGTAATGTTTATCTAGTTTGGCTCTTTACCAGGTGCTCCACAAGTCATTATCATTTGCTGTACTTGTATTGGCTCTAATACAGGAAAACTTTCTAATGACCCTAATGTAAGAGTAGCTAAACAGTAGATTTCTTTATTTCTTTTGTTATTTTTTTTGAGGAAGACTAGCCCTGAGCTGACATCTGCCACCAATCCTCTTTTTGCTGAGGAAGACTGGCCCTGAGCTAACATCTGTGCCCATCTTCGTCTACTTTTCTATGTGGGATGCCTACCACAGCATGGCTTGCCAAGTGGTGCCATTGTTAGTACCTGGATTTGAACCGGCCAACCCTGGGCCGCCAAAGCAGAATGTGCGCACTTAACCACTGCACCACTGGGCCAGCCCCTAAAAGTAGATTTCTTAAAGACTTTGTGACTCTTAAAACTCTAAGCTCACTGACCTTGCTTTTTAAGTTGCATGACTCCCAGAAAGATCCCAGAGCGGTGTCTAAGTAGTGTTAGTAGTGTTGTTGAACTGGGGCAAGGAATTCAGTGATTTGAGCTGGGGGTGAGAGGTTTTAATTATTAGATTATCTTAAATTCTGCTACTGGTGACTTAGTGGCTGAAAAGTCTCCTTGATTATTTAGCATCTATCTGGTGCTGTATAGCAGTTACTTATTAAATATTTCTTGAATGAGTAAGTGATATGACATATTGAATACCCAATAATTAATTTAGAAAGTAGTGGCTTTAGTGCTGTGAGATCCTTATCTAAAAGGCTCAGTGGTACAAAATGCAGGTGCTCCACATGAAGTGTGAACATACAGTGTCAGTAAATATACTCCCTGTGAGGATCTAGAAATAAGAAATATATATTCTTATGGGTGGAAGGCTAGTTCTGGTCTTAAAATTCTACTGATAAATCAACATGTATATATTGGGGAAATCTGTGGGACTTTTTCAGTATGAGGAAGAATAAAGTCTTAAAATTAAACTCACTGCAGACGAAATTCCTTGTATTTTGGGGGGAAGTACCAATTGGATGCTAACACT